CGAGTGACAATGAGTTAGTATTGAAGGAGATTCTATTTCGATTGTGAATTGTCTTACGAACCGAAGAGAGGATATTTCCACCATCGGATTGATGCTCAATGAGGCTCATGCAATCGTTTACAAGAACCAAGATTTTAAAGTTTTCTATGTCAACCGAGAGGCCAACAAGGTCACTCACTCTCTCGCCTATTGGGTTTTGTCGAGAACCAATCTTTAAGTGAGTGTGATATAATTTATCCTAATTGTTTTAAATAAAAAGAAAAGGTTGTTTGTTGTTAGGCGACATCCAATTAAGCATGCACAAATATATGATAACTTCACTTTGAACTTGAAGCCTTGTTCCATTATTATATGTAGCATTGTTGATGACTTGAAGTTTTATAAAATCCATCACTCAATTCCATTTTATTCTATTTTAGTCATTATAGTTTTTTTTTTTAATTTACTCACCGAACTTCAAAATTGCTCTTATTTTAGTCACTCAACTGCTAAACATTTAACGATTTTATTAATCTATATTTTATTTTAAAAAATATGAAATAACCCCTAAATTTTCTTCATTTTTTGTGAAACAAACCCTCTGGTTTCATATTTCTTTTATTTTTCAATGATGAAGTATCTTCTTCCAAATCATAAAGTGGAGAAGTGGAGAAGTAGAGAAGGAGGAAACGAGTTGTAAATCTTATTTTCAAGTTGATTGGATGGTGGATATTATAGATCATAGCGATTTAGGGTTTCACGAGTTGTAGATTTGGGGTTGAGTTTTAAAGTGGTTTTGGAAAAAAAATCTAAATTGATAAAGTGGTAGGAGATGATGAAGAGATTCATTTGTATCTTGAGGTAGGAGACGATGAGAAGAGTTCGTTTGTATCTTGAGTGGTTGGAGAAGACACCTGGAGAATGATACTTATAGCGTCGACATTACACATGGGTGAAACCATAAAGTTTTCATCTTTAGAGGAAAAAGATCAAATAACAAAAGGAAAGAGGAAAAGGGGAAATGACATGAATGATGTATGGATTTCATGTCAATAAAAGAAGGCCACAATAGCAATTGACTTTCATATCACCTATTTATTTATAATTTAACCCTTGAGTGATCAAAATAGGAGTAAATCTAAAATTAAATCGATAAATTAGATTAGAAGTAAAATAGGTACCTTAGCCAGGGCCCCCTCTCCTCCCCAGTCCCCACTAATAGTGCATATTGCCTTTCACAATGTTGTACTGATTCACTAATCTTAATTGATCAATCATCGTCGTCATATGAAACTGTTGGAGATCACACAGTTTTGTCGGCCAAATACTTTTGCAGGCTTAAAATTTTAAGATATGCGTGAATTACTTAAACTATCAGTTTTGGAAACTTTCAATTTTCTAAATATCATGCCTAACGCTTAGTTTTTGTTTCGTTTTAATAACTCGTCGTTAAAAACTTAACGGGTGATTTGCACGTGGCACATTTTTATGGGTAAAATGCATCATTCATCACTCAATTATCTTCTCACTCCTATTTTGGTCACTAAAGTTTAATTTTTTAATTTAATTACTTAACTTTCAAATTACTCCTAATTTAATCACTCTCATTTTTAAATTTATTTTTTATTTTTAATTATATATTAATAAAATAACAATAAAAATTTTCATGTCACAAAATTATTAATAAAATAAATTAAAGTGATTAAAATATGGGCAATTTGAAAATTAAGTACCAAAATAGGAGCGAGAAGATAATTGTAGGGATGGGCATGGGACCTGAACCCGATGGATTCTGAACCGACCCGAGCCGGTCGGGTCGAGTTTAGGGTGAAAAATACCCGACCCGACCCAAAAAATATATAATTTTACTTATATATTTAGGAATAATTACAATAATACCCCTTTATATATTATTTTTTTCAATTAAGTCACTGTTTTTATTGAATAAAAATAATACTTTTTTATTATCTCAGGTCGGGTCTTTAAGTTATAAATTTGGTCGGGTTCGGGTCGGGTCGGATCTCGGGTGGAGGATTTCTTGTTCTTGGGTCGTGTCAGGTGGACCAAAAACCCGACCCAACCCGACCCATGCCCATCCCTAGATAGTTGAGTGATGAATGATGTAATTTACCCATAAAAATCAGTGTCGTAAAGTTTTTAATGACAAGGTACTAAAATGAAATAAAAACTAAACGTTAGGTATGATTTTGAAAAATTGAAATTTTAAGTACTAAGATGAACCGAAACCGATAGTTTAGATACTAAATGCGTAATTTACTCTAAATTTGGGACGTTACATAAACCAATATCTATGTTAGATTAATTGAGAATTAATTCTCTTAAAATTAAAAATTAAAAATTTGTTGCAACAAAATTTTTCTTACATGCCTCCGATCTTGCTAACACAGTCTACAACAAGAAGTTCCCTCGAACGAAATAACTACTTATGATCACATCATCACGAGTTCCAAACCATAGGTTTGACATCACTTGTTAGGAATTTATAAGTAAAAGTACGAGATCAACATGAAATATATCAAACACAAGAGGCGGTTCTTACCTCCACGAATAAGAGAATAAGCCCTTTACAAACTTAGAGATTACAAAAAGTTCAAATACATGAAATTCCCTTATCCCAAAATATATTGTATGTTTCACAAACTTGGTGTTTTATCAAAATTCTTCCTACATCCCTACAAAATCAATATTCAATCTTCTCCAATTTAAGTTTTGTTCACGTCTCGAATGAATTCAAGAACATATTTAAAAAAAACTTTAACCGACGGTTGAAATAGTTTGTGGATTCCGAACGACGATAACGACGGAACCTAATAACAATTACAACCCAAGAAGTAATAGGTACTTGGGCATGGACTTGGGAACCTCTATTTGCCAATAGAAATGTTGGCATACTTCCACACAATTCTTATAAATAAAGAATGCTTGTTTAAATAAATTTAATCATTAAATAATCTTTAATCACTAAAATTATATTAAAATTTAATTTAATTACCATTATAAACTGATAGGTTGCTTAAAATGGGGATGCATGTGGATGGTGGGTGCAAGATTTTTTAGGGGAGAGAGCAAGAATACCGGAATCATATCTTCCTACATCCCTACAAAAATCAATATTCAATATTCTCCAATTTTACTATATTTTTTTAAAAAATAAAATCTTAATATATTATATTTTCGAGCTGCTCACGAACTTTTCGAGTCGAATATCAAGTAGTTCGTTTCGGCTCGTTAAGAGCTCGATCAAGCTCAAGTCGAGTCCATTCGATCCGAGTATTTATCGAGCCTTGATCGAATCGATCTCGAGTAGCTCGCGATCTGTCTCGTCTCATTTACAGCCCTAGCTCTAACCTTATTGCAGGATAAAGTATTTAATTAGGGATAGATCGAGAAGATGCTACAGGGTGTGGTCATACTCTTAAAAACTTTAAATCTACGTATAATTTAAATATTTTCTATTGATGATACAAATTTACACTCCTGAAATTTTATAATTTTGTATTCCTAAATCTCTAATATATATCCCGAAAGGTCTATTAGCTCTGCGGCAATCGGTGCACGACCTTGCTTGACCGTGTGTTGTTAATAGGCCATGGACTCCGTTGTGCGTTGGACGCCGAACACCTTTAGTTGAAATGTCACTAATTTTTATGCCAGAAAAGCCTTAAAACCATAATTTGTCCATTAAATTTTACTATGGTTTACCAAGTTGTCCCGTAATTTTCTATCTATAATTTTGTCCCTAATGTTTAATTTCATTACCCATTTCATCCCAAATCATTTAAAAAAAAGGTAAATCATGTGTTTAAACCTAAACTATCAGTTTTAGTCAGTTTTTGTTTTATTTTAGTACCCGCTCAAAATTTAATGTTAAGTTTTGAAAAAAATTGAAAGTTTAGGTACTAAAACGAACCAAAACTGATAATTTAGGTACTAACCACGTCAAGTTTTTAACGACGGGTTACTAAAATGAAACATAGACAAAACATTAAGTATAATTTTTTAAAAAATTGAAAGTTTATAAAACAAACCAAAATTAATAATTTAAGTACTAAAAGCGTAATTTACCTTGAAAAAGTATCATTGGCGAATAATATCATGTCATGTAACACTTATATAAAAAAAGCATCTGACTTTAGTAAAAAAAAAAGGAAAATGACATGTCAAGTCTCTCAAGTTTTCTTTTTATTTGGTTTAATTCCTAAAAAAAATTTATTTAATTCTGAACTAACCTTTAATTTTACGATTTAGTCCAATTTTATCATCGAAGATCGCCTATCCTATGCCTTGTAGTCTCGCCTACACGGTCCACAATAGGTTGTGCTGGTCCAACGAGGCTAGGGCCGTGACCCAAAGCACCACACTACCTAAGCCAAACCATAGAGCTATTGCATGATCAGTAAAAACACCATGGAGTAGGTAGGTAGGTAAAAAGGACTCGACGTTAAAAATCGAACTAAACAAGGAATGTTGTTCTCTTTAGAGGATTCAAATTTTAATTGATATATTTGTAGGATGTATGTGCGATATCAATAGTTAAAAAAGAATCCGAACAAATATTATCTTATAATCTCTTGATGACTGTTCAAACAAAAGTTCTCCTCAATGAGATCTTCCAAGTTATTCATGAAGATTTAGATGTTTTCATGTCTAGTACGGTTCCCAAACAAGAAATGATAGTTGATTTGATTAGGTCATAGTCATAACTAACAATCAGTGACGGATCTATTAAGGATGTTCGTCTTAAAATTTTAGTTATGTCCACCCTATATAAAAAATTATGTGATTAATATACAAGTAACGTCCCTAAAATATATTTCTATATCCACCACGACTAACAACTTCAAAATAGGAGGGCGAATCTTGGGGACTCATTTGGCTAAAAACATTACCTTTTTTTCTCTTCAAATTCCCCCTTCAACAGCCTACTTTTATGCAATTGTTTCCAACTATTTCACCCCAATAAAAGATCTCCAAACATCCACAAAACTCTAAACCTGGCAGCTATAGTCTCTCTCAATTCTCAAACATTGTGAGAGATATCTGGTACTAAGATTTTTATAGAAAAAAGAGAGAATGGAAGATGAAATTAGCCATGAAAATTCTGCACACGGGCATAACAAGGGTAGCCCCGAGAGCCCGTGTGCAAAAATCAGCTGCAATGGCAACAACAACAACAACAAAGAACAAGATCGTTTCCTCCCGATCGCAAACGTCGGGAGGATCATGAAAAAAGTGATTCCGAGTAACGGGAAGATATCGAAAGACGCGAAAGAAACCGTCCAGGAATGCGTGTCGGAGTTCATCAGCTTCGTCACGGGGGAGGCCTCGGATAAATGCCAAAGGGAAAAGAGAAAGACCATTAACGGAGATGACATCATTTGGGCAATCACGACCCTAGGGTTTGAGGAATACGTAGGACCCTTAAAATTGTACCTAAGCAAATATAGGGAGATTGAAGGAGAGAAGCTTAATATTCCAAAGCAGCAAAGATCTGAACAAAAGCAGCAACAACAACAATCAAAACATGAACAAAATATACCTAATTTCAATAGCAATGTGTATTCACCACCAAATTTATTGTCTCGTCACACGTCGTTTGTGCCTTCTGATCAACCATTCTCATTGCCTTTCTCATCCAATAACATTCAAAAGCAATTACAGCAGCAAGACCAGGTTGATTCAGTGGGGTACTGGTAAGAACAACGGCAAATATGTTTTTTCTTTTTCTTTTTTCAATTTTTCTTCTCGACAACAAGCTTTGAATTGCAATGTTGTTAATACATTTCGTATACACACCTGGATATGTACTGTATTGTCATGTAATATTAGCAATATCATACGTTTTCGACTACGATTTGTCTGATAAACCTTGTCCTAGTTGTTGATGAAAATGAATGAACGCATGCATACATGGATGATCGCCCTCCTAAAATTTTTAAATTCTCGTATATTTTAGATATATATTTTATGCTTTTTTATTAAAAACATGTATTCCTCATATTATTAACAGATAATCGATATGGTCAATTCTCTCAGTCAATTGATATATTAATAAGATAGGACTATAATGATCCCAACATTATTTATCGAAAGATATTATGTTCCACCATACGAAACTATCACGTGACACCAAAGACACAAAGTGTATTGTGAAAAATTATTATAAATTTCGGTAAATTATCAAAACTATATATTGTAAGTATGATGAAATTTAATCTAAAAATGTATTACTGGTATATATCCATTATTTGTTGTATGTATATAATAAAATGATGGTATTTGTTTTGTCGTACGGCATAATTAATTGAAAATATTTATGGAGAAGAAGCAAAGAGACAAGAAGGGGTAGGAGTGAAATAAATTAAGGGAAAGCGACGGCCAAAAGGGGGGCTTAAATGGCCTACGTCCACTCGTCTCATAAGCTGTTCTCTCCTTGATTAACTCTCTTCCAACTTTCACCTACGTCCTTACCAATGGACGGCCCTTGGCTTTTCTCACTACGTACTCAACCCCCTTTTCTTTAATACTCAATTTTATTTTATTTTTTGTTGGTGGAAATAATTTGATTTTGTCAGCCATTAATGATTCACTCCTTTTAATTTGAGTGATAAATCGTGGTCTATAACGATCTTCAATTGAATTTCGTTCTAACAAATCACTTGAATTTCGTTCCAACAAATCACTTGAATTTATCTAAAAGTTATCTATGCGTTGTAACTGGCTCGAATGCGTGTTCTCATGATTCCCCACTTTTCACGATTCTTTTAACCTAATTTTATCTATTTACAATATTAAAATTTGAAGTCTTCATCATACCTAAAGGTTCTAATATCTAATTCTATTCATTTGAATTTGGTATCTTATTATTAAGATTACATGTTATCCATATGTCAAAATCAAGTTATCTAACATCCCTTTCTTGAATTTCATTTAATATCATTAGATGTCTTATTTGATTAAATTAACTTTTACAACCATTGTAGTTATCCACTTCTCAGATTATCTTGCTATGATTGATTTTATAATTAAAAATGAAAAAGGAGGGAAATTTGCTTTGTCTTCTCTCTATCTCTCTCTATCTATATATATATATATATATGGTGTGTTCTTGTTCCCTAGTGTTACTCACTTTCACTTCAGCCCTTTGGAAACACTGTTTATCTCAAATGTCTGTCTCTCTCTCTGTCCTAATGGAATCGAGCCCTTCACCCATTCTTCTGTGCCCTTCCATAGAAGCAAGAGATGAAAAGAGTGTCCTTTTTGACGCATCAAAGTTTCAAAAGCAATCAAATTTGCCCACTGAATTCATGTGGCCGCGTGGGGACGTGGTTCAAACTCAGGAAGAGGAGCTTAACGAGCCATTGATAGACTTGGAAGGCTTCGTCAAAGGAGACGACAAGGTGACTGCACATGCAGTTGAGCTGGTGAGGACCGCCTGCTCCAAACATGGTTTCTTCCAAGTTACCAATCACGGCGTCGACTCGAAGCTTATACAAGCTGCGTACCAAGAGATTGATGGAGTGTTCAAGTTACCGATGAACAAGAAGCTGAGTTTCAAGAGAAAGGACGGTGGGTTTTCGGGATATTCTGCCGCACACGCTGACCGGTTCTCGACCAAGTTGCCGTGGAAGGAAACGTTTTCATTCGGCTACCGGGGACTCCACTCCGACCCTTCTGTTGTTCATTATTTTAGGTCTGCTTTGGGGAAGGATTTTGAGCACACCGGGTAAGACTTCATAAATTGCTGTCTGAGGTTCCGGGATGAGTATTTTATTGAATCGAGTTATTTAATTTCATGAATTCTATTTTATTTGTGGTACATTTATATATATATATAATATTTGTTCCGTATAGGTAAACACAAATAAAATTTTAAGGGTATACTATTAGAAAAATGAATAACCAACGTAAAGAAATTTGAGTCTACCACCCCAGATGCTCACCTTGGCAACCCTTGCATCTGTCGTTATATTTTATAACTCAAATTTTATTTAAATTTTTTCGAGATGAATTTATTAAATTTGAGTCGAGTCAAGTTGTTCGATTTTCTGTAAATTTATATAATATTATGGTACTAATTAATTTTAATTCAAACAATTTTCTGTAAGCGATATATATATATATATATATATATATATATATATATATATATATATATCCTCGTATTCGGAAATTGAATGCTAATAACATTATACATCCATATTGATTGTTTGAAGGTGGATTTACCAAAAGTACTGCGAAAGCATGAGGGAACTATCGCTAGTCATATTGGAGCTGCTGGCAGTGAGCTTAGGGATCGATCGTCAACACTACCGAGAATTCTTCGAAGACGGCAATTCGATAATGCGGTGTAACTACTATCCCCCCGTGCAGTAACTCCGGCCTCATCCTCGGCACCGGCCCTCACTGCGACCCGACTTCCTTAACCATACTCCACCAGGATCAAGTCGGAGGGCTCGAAGTTTTCACCGATAACAAATGGCACGCCGTCCGACCTCGACAAGATTCCCTTGTCGTCAACCTTGGTGATACGTTCATGGTACATATATATACTATTGAAATTAAGGTAAATTACGTATTTAATTTAATCATTCGTGTTCCGATATAAAAGTCTACGTCCGTTCCTGAATGCATGTAGGCATTGTGTAACGGGAGATACAAGAGCTGCCTGCATAGGGCAGTGGTGAACAGGGAGAGAGAGAGGAGGTCATTGGTATACTTTGTGTGTCCGAAAGAGGACAAAGTGGTGAGACCACCACAAGATCTAATGTACAGATGGGGAGAGACGAGAGAGTATCCTGATTTCACGTGGTCTGATTTGTTGGACTTCACCCAAAACCACTATCGAGCTGACGTGGCGACCCTCCAAAGCTTCTTCCGATGGCTCCCATCTTCCAGCTTCTAGTTCCCTCTACTTGCATGCCCCTTTTATTACAAGGGCGCATTGACGTGGACTCAATTGGTGTCGATTGATCCCATTCAAGTATAGTCATAAAATAAAGTTGTAATAAGGGACAGTGCCATTTGCTAGGTGGGAGGTGCTATGATCTTCCAACTTTTTCTTAATAAAATAATATTTTAGGTCCTTATTCATTTAAATATTAATTAAATAAAACATTTTCCCTTTATTTTTAAACTTAAATATTAAATAATTCCTTGGCTTCCTGATGTTTGATCTTAGCTTTGTTTTTATTATAATTCCTTTTTGTTGTGGGGTTGGACAAATAAGGGCCATGCATGCAATGCAAGGGAGGATAAATTGTTGGAAAAAGACAACAACAAAAAAACTTAGGAAAAAACACCAAGTGTCCTTTGGGGGAGGGTTTTGGTGGACAACGACCTCTCGTGTTATATAACTTAAAGTTTATTTTTGAGATTATAAATTAGTATTTGTTTAGAATTTTAATTTTTTTTTATCTTTCGATAACGTATATAATTCTATAGATATTATTGTTCGAACTTAAGATTTTTTAAAAAAAATGATATTTTTTTTACTATTAAAATCATTTAACGAATTCAATTATATGAAAATTTTGCGAAAGAAAGAGGACAAGAGAGAGAAAGGAAGAAGAGACAACCTTGCTACATAAATGAGTTGCAACGCACCACTCACTTCACGTGGGTCGATACCCAAATTCCTTCCCACAATTGGCGTGGATGTCCCCATCGCACCACTTCGGGTGTGAAGTTCGTGATCTGAGCATGTGTCATGCACGTGAACCCTTGTTCTAACTAACAAATTTGGGACCCCATGCCTTTATCTAATAGTTAAAATCTCGAAATCGAACTAAATAATTTTAATAATTAATGGATTCATTAATACTCTCAAATTTGAGTATCAACAAAGGTATATATAAACGTTCGTTATCAATTAATTCAAAATCTTTGAACATATATTATCTCAAATTCGTCCTAAATTTATTGGGAAAAAATCTCAAATCACATCCGCCCTTGCTTGCATCATAATTTATTGCGTCTTGTCATATCTTCCACTTGTGTTGTCAATCTTAATTATTAGGATCTCCTTTGAAACATATCTTCGCATTATTTTGATACTCAGAAAATTCCAAATATATATATACTAGAAAATAATATAATTTAAAATAATAAAAAATTATAAACTGGATACTCGTGATTTAAATAAACGGGTACTTAAATTGGTACCCAAAAATTCCGGATACCCGGTATTCCGAGTTCTCGAAAAATTGGGTACCCAATCTTGAACACCCTTACTTCTAATAGTAAGTAAATTCTATTATTTGAAATCTAATATATCTTACCTTTACAAGTAAAATAATTTATAATTGCATATCCTCTTACATTCTCTGTCTTTTGTATTTCTCTCCATAAAAGTTGGTTTATATCAAACAGAAGAAAAAAAGTTTGCTGAATTTCCTTTCATACATGAGATTATGCTTTTTGTTTGATGTGAGTTTCATATTTCCAAATAATTTATTAATATAAGTATGCTTTAATTACCATACAAGAATAATACTTTATGCAATCATCTTTTATACCATGTTGATAACAAAAGTTATTTTTATAAGAATTTTTGTTGTTAGCATACAATGTTATAAACGATTATAATAAGTTGAACATAAAAAATTATTTGATCGTATATAAAAATTATCCTATGTAAAATTCTTTTAGTTTTTCACCTTTTTAAGATCATTAGATGAGAGAAATTAAAAACTGAGATTAACAACAAAAAAATGAAAAGATATTCACTGGAAAAAATCAATGAATTCATGTCAGCCTTTGATTTCCCTCAATCATTGGTCCTAATTCACTTGTGCTATTTAAAACTCTTTTAGTTTCACTCTTTTAAGATCGTTTGATGAAGGAAAATCAATGGCTAAGATTAACTCATTGTTTTTTCTCTAGTGAATAACTTCTCATTTTCTACTGTTAATCTCAGACTTTAATTTCTATCATACAATAGTCCTAACAGTGTAATTGGATCCAGCCCCATATATATATATATATATATATATAACATTGAAATAACACAGATACCTTAGATTTAAAACAAATGAATCATTAATGTGTAAAATTCTATAATTTATAACACTATGATCAGCACAATTCAGTGGCAGAAGCAGTCATGAACCCTTTAAGCACGAGGTAATCCAAAGCTCGGCATCAAATCAAAACTTGCCTTCATTTTTGGAACTATAAAGACTATAATCTACAGTGTTCTAACCAAAGGATGAAAAATGGAGTAAGCATGTCAGGTGCAGCTCAAGACAGCTCAAGAGTTTATAAACTAATAAATGAGGCAGAGGCAGAGGCAGTTGGCAGGGATTTGCTGGTTTTAGAACCTTTGACACAAGACAGCTCAAGAGTTTATTCGTTCACGTTTCTGGATATAACCTGCAAATTCATAAGACTTATCACCACCGATATAAAAACTATCCATCCTTGGATGATTCGAGATCATACTAATCCGATTTGACATTGATTGTTTGAGAAGCATTAGAGAAGAGTAGGTTAAAAAATAAAAATGAAGAACTTGAGGAGGTGTTATCTAACCTCTGATATTAACGGCTTAGCATGTTCTTCCCACTCAGTGGCCCATCTTGCTGAAGAACATGTTTCCAATGCACCGTTCTTGAGAGAGTTTAGAGCATCACATTCAGCTGGAAAGCCCCTGAAGAGCATCTGCAGAAGTTGACGAGTAGAATTGAAACCCATGAAATATCTCGAGAACATATCAACTGTAACGGTCTCAAGAAATGAAGTTACAGATTACAATCAACTACTTAATTACTTATCCTGCTTCAACTTACGGTTCAACATCCAAACACAAGCTAACATGGGTTCACATTGAGACACTAGAGACGCCTAGGCGAAGTGCATTAATTATTAATGCTGATGCACTAGTAGGCTGTGGGAAAGTGAATAGCAGAGGGTTTTGAAGGAATTTACAGTATGTATTGTAGGAATTATAGAAATGAGTTGTCAATCCCTTAAGTTAAGAGATTATGTAATTATTTTCTGTTTTTTCAATCCCTTATTTCAAGGGATTACATATCCTAGGATTAGTTTCCTTTCTTAGAGTTTCCTAGTTTAGAGGCATAATTTGTATATAAATATGTAATATGTTCTACTGAATGTACACAAGAATAAAAATAACAGACTTGTCTGTTTTCTACAGTCTGTTTTCTACATGGTATCAGGTTAGAGCGATCAATCCGATTTCCGCTTCTCTTTAAATCAATTCCTATTCAACTCTATTTTTTTTTCATGGCTAATCCGGATCCCTCAGCATCCGAAATCACTTCCCAGACCAGCCCCTCTCAATCTGATTTTCAGATTTCAGTTTTCAAATTTTCAAAGCAACAGAGGAAAAATCACCTTTGGTGTGAACATTGTAAGAAGCCAGGCCATATGATAGATCAATGTTGGAAGCTGCACGGAAAACCAGCCGATTGGCAGCACACACGGTCCAGGTTTCAAAAGGAGCCTCATATTGCCTCTCAAGATGATTCCTCAAGCAGTTTTAGCAAGAAACAAATAGAGGAACTGCAGCAGATTTTGAGCAGTATGACAGCCAAGCCTACAAATGTGACTTATATTACTACTGATGGAAATAATCCATATGCTTCCTCGGTACAATGGATAATAGACTCGGGTGCATCAGATCATATGACAGGAAATATTAATATCTTGGAGGAATATAGTGAAAGCAGCTTACCAGCTTCTATCAAAATAGCAGATGGTTCTCTCACTACAGTCAAAGGGAGTGGTTCTGTTACATTAAACAAAAATCTACTACTTCATAATGTCCTCTATGTTCCTAGACTTGCATGCAATCTGTTGTCAGTCAGCAAATTAATTAAAGATTTTGGTTGTAATGTTGTGTTTGGTACTGGTGGTTGCATTTTTCAGACACAGGGCTCGAAGAGGGTGATTGGCAGTGCTAGGCTGGGCAAAGGATTGTACACCCTTGGAGGTAAAGCATCTCATAATCATGCCTTATCTAGTGCTCTTAGGAAACCAATTTTATCTTCTGATCTCAATACCAATAAAATTATGTTATGGCACTCTAGATTAGGTCATCCTAATTTTTTCTATCTTTCCAAAATGTTACCGAACTTATTCATTAATAAAGATCCGTCTTTGTTTTCCTGTGAAATTTGTCAAATGACCAAACACACCAGAAAACCATATATTCTGGCCAAATTTGAACCAACAACACCTTTTTCCATTATCCAGTGACATTTGGGGCCCTTCTCCTGTCAAAAGTATTTCTGGGTATAAGTGGTTTGTGTCTTTTATAGATGATTACTCTAGGACAACATGGGTTTTCTTAATGAGAGAAAAATCTGAGATTGAGTCTCTCTTTAAAAGTTTTTATCAAAAAGTTTAAACCCAATTTGACACAAAAATCAAAATTCTAAGGAGTGACAATGGGAGTGAGTATTTGAATAAAACCCTTGGGTATTTCTTTAAGGAAAAAGGCATTGTTCACCTTACTTCTTGTGTCAACACACCTCAACAAAACGGGGTAGCAGAAAGGAAAAATAGACATCTTCTAGAGGTTACTAGGTCTCTTATGTTTGCTGCTAATGCTCCTAAGTATCTTTGGGGGGAAGCTCTTCTTACAGCCACTTACCTCATCAATAGAATGCCAAGTAAAACCTTAGATTTCAAAATTCCTACGAAGGTTCTGTTTCAGCTGTATCCCCATTTTAAACATTTAAACTCAAGTCTTTCTCCTCGGGTGTTTGGGTGTACAGCCTTTGTTCATATCCACAACAGAGGGAAATTAGATCCTAGGTCCATAAAGTGTGTTCTTGGGCTATTCTTCGAGTCAGAAGGGTTACAAGTGTTACTCACCTTCCACCAAAAAGACCTATGTCTCCTTTGATGTTACATTTTTTGAAAACCAACCTTATTTTTCAGGAACAGAAATTCAGGGGGAGAGTTACAAGGAATTTCAGCCTGTTCAAACCGATATTTCTTTACAGCCTATTAGTTACAAGGAATTTCAACCTGTTCAAACCGATATTTCTTTACAACCTATCCTTTCCTTACCTATTACTGTCTCTCCAAAGCCGGCTAGCACTGTCCCAGTTCCTAGGGAGAGTGATGGGAATAACCTAAATAACTCTGATGAATTACCTTCCTCCTTATCTCAGCACTCTAGTCCGTGCAAAACACCTTCCACCACTACCAAAAATGCACCTAACAATGACCCTGAAACCATAACTCCCCAACCGAAACAACTCAGTGTTTACTCAAGAAGAAGGAAAGAGGTTTTCTGAAGAAATCAGTCAGCCTAGCATTTGCAAAGAACCAGATTCGAATCCTGTTGCAGCTGAAACAGAAGGTAATGATGGTTACCAAGAGGCTACTACTGTTGATCTTGATGACTTTCCTATTGCTATTAGGAAGGGGGTAAGAAAATGCACTGCTCATCCCATAAACAAGTATGTTGCATATGGGAAATTACAGTATAATTTCAGAGCCTTCACTGCCAGTATTAACACTGTGAAAATCCCAAGAAATGTGACAGAAGCATTTCAATCTCCTGAGTGGAAAAAGGCTGTGGAAGAAGAGATAAAAGCATTGCAAAAGAATAAAACATGGAGTTTGACAGATTTGCCAAAAGGAAAGAGAGCTGTTGGATGCAGGTGGATATTCACAGTCAAATATCATTCGGATGGGAGTGTGGAAAGATACAAGGCAAGGCTGGTTGCTAAAGGTTTTTCTCAGTCTTATGGCATCGACTACCAGGAGACTTCTGCACCGGTTGCAAAATTGAATACCATCAGAATATTGTTATCAGTAGCTGTTACCATGGACTGGAAATTGCATCAGCTGGACATAAAGAATGCTTTTCTGAATGGGAACCTTGAAGAAGAGGTATACATGGAGGTCCCCCCGGATTAGAAGGAAAAGTCACTAAGAAAACTGTGTGCAAGCTCAATAAATCCTTATATGGCTTAAAACAGTCTCCCAGGGCTTGGTTTGATCGATTTGCTAAGGCTATGACACAGAATGGTTTCAAACAAAGCCAAGCAGATCACACATTATTCATAAAATTACACCGAGTGGTAAGATAACCCTCCTAATTGTCTATGTAGATGATATGATTATAACTGGCAGTGATATAGAAGAAATAGAAAAGCTAAAGATGAATCTTGCAAAGGAGTTTGAAACCAAGGATTTAGGGAGTATGAGGTATTTCCTGGGTATGGAAGTTGCAAGGTCCGAGGAAGGGCTGGTCATAAACCAGCGTAAGTATGTTTTGGATCTTCTTGCAGAAACTGGGATGCTCGACTGCAAACCAGTTGAAACTCCAATGGAGCCAGGCTTGAAATTTTGCAAGGAGAGGACTGGAAATCCAGTAAACAAGGAATCCTACCAAAGGTTAGTTGGGAAGTTAATCTACTTGTCACTGACCAGGCCTGATATTGCATACTCAGTGAGCATTGTCAGCCAACATATGAGTGATCCTCGAGAAGAACATTTGGAAGCTGTTAACAGAATTTTAAGGTTCTTGAAATTTACCCCAGGAGCTGGACTTATATTTAGAAAAAATCAAGACAGAACAGTGAAGGTTTATACAGATGCAAGCTGGGGAGGTGAATTAACTGATAGAAGGTCAGTTAGTGGCTACTGTACCTACGTTTGGGGTAATTTGGTGACTTGGAGAAGTAAGAAACAAACTGTTGTCTCTCGAAGTAGTGCTGAGTCAGAGTTTAAAGCAATGGCTCTCGGAATATGTGAAGGAATGTGGATTAAAAGACTGCTCACAGAACTGGACTTAGATGACAAGAAGAATTTTGAGATTTTTAGTGACAGTCAATCAGCTATGAGTATAGCAAAAAATCCAGTGCAGCATGATAGAACGAAACACATTGAGATAGACAGACATTTTATTTACGAGAAGGTCAACAATGGAGTTGCAAAACTGCAGTACATTCCGACGAAGAAACAGCTGACAGATATCTTCACCAAAGCCCTTCCACGAGTGACTTTTGATGAGATGTCATTCAAACTGGGTATATACAACATATATACACCAGTTTGAGGGGGTGTAGGAATTATAGAAATGAGTTGTCAATCCCTTAAGTTAAGAGATTATGTAATTATTTTCTGTTTTTTCAATCCCTTATTTCAAGGGATTACATCTCCTAGGATTAGTTTTCTTTCTTAGAGTTTTCCTAGTTTAGAGGCATAATTTGTATATAAATATGTAATATGTTCTACTGAATGTACACAAGAATAAAAATAACAGACTTGTCTGTTTTCTACAGTCTGTTTTCTACATGTATAACACTAGGGGATCATTTTTCTTCGTTTTTTAAGAAATAATTATTGAGCATCCAATCTAAAGAAATTGGTAATCAGTGGAGGGAACCTAATACTTAAAAGATGAGGGATATTACCACTACACTCCACCAATTGTTTTAGAGTGATCATGACCCAATCATGACTACTTGCTCATTTTTAGGGTATTTGTAGATGTGGATTAAGTTTGTCACATTTTAGACACGTGGAGAGGAGTTTGCTGAAATGCGGTGTCGATCGCAAGTGGAGTAATTCCCAATTAGTCCACATTCAATGCTCTAACCAATTATTTAGATCTAGGAGAATGGATGCTTAACAAAAATTATCATAATTCCTGAAGGGCGGATAGTACGAAGAGATTGTGAATTATCCGTTTTTACTTGCAAGCCAATTGTCTCTGTTAAGTGCAAAACACTTACCAAGAGCTCCTCAGCTAGCTCTGATGACGATGAAAAGAGCAGTCCGTTCTTCTCAACTTTAACTAGTTCTTCAATGCTTCAGAAGTCAAACCAGTAGCAGATTATAAACGAGTAAAATGGCATTAAAGGGAATCAAATTATAAGCCAATAAAACTGGAAATGAGAAGTGCAAGAGAATTGTATGGTTGTTTTTAAGTTTTTGTATCTTGGGGTTATCAATGAATTATTGAGGCACTCTTTTACTCCTTTCGCTGATTAAGGAGCACCTTGTGATCCATTAATCATGAAGGAGTTTTTAATGAGGCCTACCATTCCTATCAACAAAAAAAAAAGTGCAACACATGTTTACCAAGAGTAGGAAACAGCGCATACTGGGAGTCCACAGCCAAACATATCCACCACCTACTACCCAACACAAGTTCTAGTGATGGCCAAAAGATTTCAGTGAAGTGAGAAAGTTATATTACTGCACATGTTCTTATCCTAAGAAGGGCTTTAAAAGAAGCTCCAGAATGACATACCTTCATGGGAAGGTCTAATCCTGAGGAGGAAGTATGCAGACAAACACCTAAATCTGCTGAACCTGTAAAATAAAGAAAAGAAAATGGATGTCAAACAGGTAGCATAAAGCACTTTTCCCTTCTTCCTAACGAACTACAAGGATCGTCAGCTGACAGCCACATGGTACGAAACGCAACACGTTTAAGATTTAGCCTCTTTATTTTCTCTTCATACTTATCCTTTTCAGGACCTTTGCCTAAATGAAGATTGGAATTTTTTTAGAAAAAAAAGGAGCACAGAAAGCTGATGCTTGAACAACAACCTAGGGTACAAGTATTGCTTTCCACCACTGATCTCCTGCCATAGGACCCCTTCATCAGTGGAATCATTTTTCATCCAACAGAGAAGCAACTCGTCTATCATACATTACTGCTGCTTCCAATAGAATCCCAAAATCTTCATCTGGCGTCCTGGGAAGATGTTCTCTAGAATGAATGAATTAATAGATTTATAAATAATTGCCATGCAAAAATGAGTATAAATATACTTGAATAAAAAGTAAATGGTTACATTCGAAACTCAAGAACCTTTAAGTCGACTAGGAGGCAAACTTCTACAATGAGCATAACTATACTTCAATGAAAGGAAGGAAATGGTTGCAAATGAAATTAAGTAATCTGGAAATAGGAAATGTGATTGAGGAAATGGAGAGAGTTAGTGAGAGAGAGAGAGTCCGTCAAAAGTGAGGTTCCTGGCGATAACCTTAGAGAGGTTCATGGTGGAATTATTTGGTCAGCGTTCGTTGATAATCTTAGCAGGAGAGTGAGTCGTAGTGATTTATGGGCTCGTTTTAGTCATTTTGGTAAGGTTATTAAGGTGTTCATTCCGTTTATCAATAATAGACCGAAGTATAAGGTAAGCACGTTTGCTTTCGTCCATTTTGCAAGTAAGGAGGATCTGTGTAACGCAGTGGATAAGATGAACAACGTCCTGATTGATGGGAGGAGGATTTTAGTGGCTGTAGCCAAATATGAGAAAATATCTGGGTCAAAGAGACAGAAAGATGGGAGGGTTGATGGAGTTAATAGTGCTGGTATCAGTGGGGGAATGGGTAGAAGATTGCCTTCTCAAGCTGACAGGGTGAGGAGGATGGTGATGCTGGATAAGTTTCATGATGGGAGGTCCTACAAGGAGGCGGTGGTGGGGGTGTATAAAGAGCCAGAGGGTGTGCAAGAGGGTATTCATTTTAATTCGAAGGAGCTGAATAACACTAAGGATGTTTCCATCCCAGTGGAGGATAGGGTCTGGCTTAGATCGTCTCTTACTGGTATCTTCAAAGATATTTTTGAGCTTCATGTTGTGCAGAAAGCGTTAAGGAATGAGGGCATCAACGTAAAGGTTGTTAGGTGGGGTTTTTCTAAGAATGCGTGCCTGGTTGTGTTCCAATCGGTGGAAGAGAAGAATTTAGCAATGGAAGGAAAATGGGAAGCTTTGTCCTTCTGGTTTGAAAGGTTGGAGCCGGTATTGGATGAGGAAAGCATTCCCCGAGCTTTTTGTACGATCTCCATGATAGGAGTTCCTTTAAATTGCTGGTCGGTTCCGTTCTTCACTAGGGTGGTATCCAGGTGGGGCAAGTTAGTGAAGATTAAAGATGAAACTGCTCAGAGAGTGGACTGCAGAGTTGCACAGATGCTTCTTAGGGTAGTCAGCCCTTTTGACATCCCTGATCATACTTCAGTTACTACGAATTGGAGAAAGGGTTGAGTGGGGCTATTTGACCTCGAGATTTGTATGTGGGCTTTCTGGGTTCTTTTTATTTGAGTATCATGACTAAGCTAAGTATCTTGTCTTGGAACGTTAGGGGTTTGGGTAAAAAAGAGAAACATAGAGTTGTGCAAAAACTTGTTTCTGAGAAAAAACCGTCGTTTCTTTTTCTTCAAGAAACAAAACTTGAAAAATTACCAATGTCTTTTTTAAGGAGGAGTGGTTTGAATGGGTTGCAGGGGTTCGTTGAGTCTCCAGCAATAGGTTCATCTGGTGGTATGTTAAGTTGTTGGGATGATAATTTTTTTGAGATTGACGATCAGTTTATTCATAGGAGGTTTATTGCTGTTTTTGGAAAGATCAAGTCTAACCACCTTAGGTGTGGCTTCATAAACGTTTATGGTCCGTCTGTGGAGGAAGAGAAGGCTGCTTTTTTTGATGAACTGGAATTGTTTTTAAACGGGTTCAGTATCCCTTTGTGTGTGGGTGGGGATTTCAATGCCTATTTGAATGAAGAGGAGAAGTTAGGCAGAGGTCATAACAGGAATTCACTGGAAATTTTTAATCACTTTATTCAGCAAACGGGACTTATTGATTTGCCTCTTGTTGGGGGGAATTTCACATGGAGCAGTTATCGGGATTTGCTGACGGTTGTAAGACTAGATAGGTTTCTGGTGAACTGTAATTTCTCAGCAGAATTTTCCGGTATCAACCAGTTTCTTTTGCCTAAATCTATCTCCGATCATAATGCAATTTTCCTGGAGAGGGGGGTAGATAATTGGGGTAAGAGACCCTTTAGGTTGTTCAATTATCTATTGTCTGAGGATGGTTTTGAGAAGATGGTTGTTGAGTCTATTAAGATGTTCAAAGAAGAAAATTCAAGAGCTGGAATTTTGAGTATGCTTAGGAATACAAAGTCTGCCATTAAGTGTTGGTCTGGAGATAGAAATCAATTTCCTCGAATGGACATCTCTATGTTAGAGGACAAAATTCATCAGATTGAAAAGGGGATGCAACATCATCCTCCTTCCAATGATGTTGTCATTTCGACAGAGTTGAGGCTTTTGAGAAATGAACTTTGGAGACTTCTTAGAATCGAAGAGCAAATTTGGGTACAAAAGTCTAGAGAGAAGTGGGTCAAAGGTGGTGACCGTAATTCAAAGTTTTTTCACACTTGCGCTTCCATTAGGAGGAGGTTGAACTCTCTGTATGCTTTAAATGTTGATGGTGTCATCACCAAAGATCCAGGTCTTATCAAGTCTAGGGTCAGGGAGCATTTCTTTAAAGCTTTTAATTGTTGCTCAACAATGGAAGTGGAGGGTATTAACTTAGATTTCGCAAAAATTTCCCCGCAACAGAACCTATTGCTAGAGAAGGAGTTTACGGAAGATGAGATTTGGGGGACCATTAATTCTTGTGATAGTAATAAAGCCCCTGGGCCAGATGGGTTGAACATGGGTTTTTTTAAGAACTTCTGGCTTAGCTTGAAAGGTGATATATTGAAATTCTTCCACAACTTCTATTTGAGTAAGGAGTGGGAGCATGGTATTAACCATTCCTCCTTAACTCTCATCCCGAAAGGTTCTAATGTTGGGAGTTTAGATGATTTCAGACCTATTTCCCTTGTAGGTGGGATGTATAAGATCCTATCTAAGTGCCTCGCGAGAAGATTGAGATGTTGCATCAATGTTATAATCAGTGAGTCTCAATTTGCTTTCATTCCTGGGAGACAAATTTTGGATTGCTCTTTTATTGCTAATGAAGGAATTGATTTATGGAGGAAGAGAGGCTTGAAGGGTTGTGTATTTAAGGTAGACTTTAAAAAGGCTTATGATTCGGTAGATTGGGACATTTTATTTAAAGTTATGGCGAAGATGGGGTTCGGTTCTAAATGGTGTAGTTGGATCCGGATGTGTGTGTCAACTGCTTCGGTGTCAGTTTTAGTTAACGGGGTTCCTACTGATGAATTTCCTATGGCTAGAGGCCTTCGACAGGGTTGTTCCCTGTCCCCTCTGTTGTTTAACCTTGTTGGAGAACTGCTTAACCTGCTGCTTCGTAAAGCAGTATCTTCGGGCCTTTTCAGTGGTCTGGTGGTTGGTAAAGATGAGGACTCAGTCAACTTATCTCATCTGCAATTTGCAGATGACCTAATCATTTTCTGTAGTGCTTCGAAGACTCAGATTGTTAATGTTAAGAGGATCCTTCGGGTGTTCTAAATTATGACTGGTCTGGAACTGAATCTGTCTAAGAGCAGATTATTTGGGATTAATATTAATGAGGAAGAGCTTCTTCAGTGGGCTAATGCTATTGGATGTCCTGTAGGACATTTTCCTGCGGAATATTTGGGGCTGCCTCTTGGTGCTAAGAGAAACTCTATGATGTTGTGGGATCCGGTAGTTCAAAAGTTTCATTCAAAGCTAGCCGGATGGAAGGCGAAGACTCTATCAATGGCAGGGAGGTTGGTATTACTGAAGGCAGTTTTGGGTTCCCTTCCTATCTATTTCATGTCCCTTTTCAAGATGCCTTCTTCGGTGAGTGTTAAACTGAATTCCATCATGGCCAGATTCTTATGGGGAGGAGGAGTGGAGGCTAGGAAAATCCATTGGGTCAATTGGACAAAAGTTTGCTCCGATAAAAGTGTTGGAGGTCTTGGTGCTATGAATATAAGTCTTATGAATAGAGCTCTCTTAGGGAGATGGTCTTGGAGGTTTGCTAACGATAAAGACTCAGTGTGGAAGAAGGTTATTTGCTGTAAATATAATTTGGATCCCAGTTTACTGCTGTTTAACGAGAAACTTCCTACACATGCTTCTTGGATTTGGAAATCGGTGGTCCTCAACCATTTCAAAAATGATCAGTTTGGAGCAAAGTTTCGTAGCAACTTTAAAGTCAGAGTGGGTGATGGAGGGAGCATTAGATTTTGGTTGGATAGTTGGGCACATGATTCCCCTCTTAAAGTGATTTTTCCGAGGTTGTATGTGCTGTCTATAAATAAGTATGGGAAGCTTTATGAGTTTGGGGAATTTCGATCTTCAGTTTGGTCTTGGCATGTTAATTTGAGAAGGAATTTGAGTGAATGGGAATTGGTTCAGTACTCTGATTTAATGACTCTAATCCACAATATCCCTCTTTCTCAGGAGTTATCGGATGGGTTGGTCTGGTATGGCAATGGGGAAGGTGTCTATACTGTTAGTTCGAGTGTTAAGTCATGCAGGCCTGTTGGTATAACAGATCCCTTTTGGAAGAAGTATGTTTGGAGGGGATCGGTGCCTCCTAGAGTGGAGGTCTTCTTGTGGCAGGTCGTGCACCAAAGACTGCCAGTTAAAGTTGAGCTACAGAGGAAAGGAGTTTCAACTATTGTGGATGTTGCTTGCCCTTTTTGCGGAGAGGCGGATGAAACCTCAGCACATTTATTCTTTTCTTGCTCGGTGGTGTGGTCCTTATGGAATAAATTTTTGATTTTCTGGGGAGTTTCTTCAGTTTTTCAAGACAATGCTCACAGCTTTATGGTCGCTTGGGATGAATTGGTACCTAATTCGAAAATTTGGTCCTTCATTTCGGGGGTGGTTTTATGGACAATGTGGAAGGGTAGGAATGCAATTGTGTTCGAGGGGGGAAGGTAGATCAGATTGATTTATTCTTTTTGGCAAGGTGTAGACTGGCTGCTTGGTTCTTAGCTTACTACAAGGTTGTATCTATCCCTAAGGACTCTCTTATTTGTGACCCTTCACTTGGGGATTGCTGCTCCTTATTAAGCTCTCCTATTATCAAAACTGTGTCCTGGTCTAAACCTCCAGAAGGATTTATTAAGCTGAATGTGGATGCGGCTGTGACTGCAGATTCGAGGAAGAGTGGTGTTGGGGGCATTCTTAGAGTTCATGATGGTTCGATGGTGGGCTCTTTTCAAGAGGCTGCTGGTCCAGGTCCTCCTGTTTTGTTAGAACTCAAGGCAATTATGAAAGGGTTATCTTTCTTTGACTCGTTTCAGCAGCGGTTTAAGGAAAGGTTAATTGTTGAATCAGACAGTAAATTAGCAGTGGATTGGGTCAAGAACATCGACCGTTGTCCCTATGTTTACTTAGACATTGTGACAGCTATTGTTGGCAAGGTTAGTGGACTGAATAGTAGTATTAGATGGGTTGCTAGGTCAGCCAATGTTGAGGCTGATAGTTTAGCTAAGGCTGGTATTGGATAGATCTCTGTTTTGTTTAGTTGGGTTTCTATTAGGTTTTGGGTTGCTTATTTGTATGATAGATTGTATGGTTGTTTTAAGTCTTTGTAACTTGTGGTTATCAATGAATTATTGAGGCACTCTTATCCTCCTTCCGCTGATTAAGGAGCACCGTGTGATCCTTTAATCATGAAGGGGGTTTTTAAAGAGGCCTACCTTTCCTATCAAAAAAAAAGTAATCTAGAAATAGAATGGGATATAAACTTCTTCCATTTAGGATCTAAAGCAACCAAAACACAGAATTTCAATCGGAAGTTACCATCATAAGCCAAAAACATATTAGAAACCAAGATATCGTGAAAAGTCAATTTTAAGAACCAAATATGATCAGTTTGAGCATTTTTCTTATTCCATAGGCTAAAATCTATCAGAGCATATTCTTCCAATTATGCTCATACATGATAAAAGTTTTAATAAAACTAGGGTAACTACGGTATGACAAAGAAGAAAAGAAAAGAAGAAATATTGAGTGCAAAAAGTAAAAGAAGAAATACCGAGTACAAAAATTACACGAGTATGGCATTCATAAAGGATAGTCTCACCAGCTTGTACTGCTTACAACAAGAGCCGGCCTGTTTGGCTTCAAAAAGAATTGCTCCATGAAGTTTAGGTAGTGTGTGCTCAGAGGGGGAAGTGTCAATCAGTTTTTTTGATAGAGTTTATAGAAGGGTGTATAGAAGTATGGTCAGGGATTCTTTGGAACAAGACAGATCATCCTCAAAGTCTTTACACTCTTTTGTTAAAGCTGTGAATGAAGCTGTTGTTACTAGGGAAGTTTGTAACATGTTGGGGATTACTTTCAAAGGGGGGCAACGTTTGTTAGAAGAGGAGATTATGAAGATGGAAAGGAAAGGGTCTAGGAAAGAAAGGGAGTATTTAGTCTTCCTTTTTGAGGGATTTTAAGATTTAATATTCCAATGTCAAATCTTAAAATTATTTCATGGAACATAAGGGGTTTAGGGAGAAAGGAAAAAATAAGAGCAGTAGCCCATCTTGTAAATAGGAATAAACCGGTTTTCTTATTCCTACTGGAGACGAAATTGAATCAATTCTTTAATGGGTTAAGAAGGAGATTAGGGGGTAAGATGCTTCAAGGACAAAGTTTTTATCCGGCTGATGGGTCAGCAGGAGGGTTGATGTGTTTATGGAATGAAACTTCTTTTCAAGTTACAAGGGAAGAAAAGAAAGCAGATTTATGGCAATCTCAGGAATGTTCAAGTTGTATAAGTTTGAGTGTGTATTAATTAATGTGTATGGCCCGTCTGTGGAGGAAGAAAAGGAGGAGTTCTTTAGGGAGTTGTTGAATTTTGTTACAAACTTAAACCTCCCAGTATGCATAGGGGGTGATTTGAATGCCTATCTTAATCCATCTAAGAAATATGGAGTTGCACAGAATTGGCATGCCCTAGATCTGCTCAGATCCTTTGTTCAACAAACAAACCTCATTGATCTCCCTTTATCAGGAGGTATGTACACTTGGTGCAACAATAGAGAGTCTCCTACATGGGTAAGACTGGATCGTTTTCTGGTTAGTAGCAATTTTTACAGGGTTTCCCTAAATTGATACAACGAATTCTACCCAAATCCCTCTCCGATCATAACCCTATTGTGCTGGAAGAAGATGGGCAGAACTGCGGCCCCAAACCTTTTAGATTTTTTAACTATCTATTAAAGGAAGAAGGTTTCGATAATTTGGTTGAAAATTCCTTGTCTGATTTGAAGAAGAAGAAGAAGGGAGGTAGGGGAATTTTTAATTTATTAAAAGGTAATAAAAAGAAGATAAGGAGCTGGTCCAGCAGTAAATATATGGGGATCTTGGAGTCTATTTCAGAAATTGATTCCAAAATAAATGATTTGGAATTGAAATCACAAGGTGTTACCTTTTCTCCTCAAGATAGAGACCAGTTATTGTTGTTCAAAAGTGAGTTATGGAGACTGCACAAAATAGAGGAGAACATTTGGCCCCATAAGTCTAGAGTGAGGTGGGTCAAAGAGGGAGACAGGAATACGAGGTTTTTCCATTTAAGTGCCTTGAACAGAAACAGATTTAATGCCATTAATTCTTTGAAGGTGGATGGGGTGGAATTGACAGACACAGTTCAAATTAAGTCTCATGTCTCGGATTATTTCAAAAAAGCTTATAATACGATTAATACGCTGGAAGTGGGAGAATTTGAACTTATTTTTGCAAAGCTATCTGCTAAGCAAAGGGATCGTCTTGAGGAGATTTTTACAGAACGGGAAGTTTGGGAAGCAATTTCTTCATCAGCTAGTGATAAAGCCCCTGGACCAAATGGTTTTACAATGGGATTTTTCAAGAAGTATTGGCCTATGTTAAAGGAGCAAATCATGAAGTTTGTCTTTGACTTTTATAGTGGAAGAAAATGAGACCATGGGGTTAATCATGCATTCATCTCCCTAATCCCTAAGAAACTTAATCCAGAAAGTTTAGAAGACTACGGGCCAATTAGCCTTGTTGGAAGTTTATACAATATCATTTCTAAAGTTTTATCCAAAAGATTGGTTTCTTGTATAAAAGACTTAGTTAGCCCTTACCAATTCGCATTTATTCCTGGTAGGCAACTACTAGATTGTGCATTCCTAGCTAATGAAGGTATAGATTATTGGAAGAAGCAAGGTAGGAAGGGGATAGTCTTCAAAATTGATTTTCGAAGACCTTATGATACGGTTGAATGGCTGATTCTTCTTAAAAAGCTATGGGTTTTGGAGAGAAATGGGTTTCTTGGATTGAATATTGTCTATCTTCTGCCTCAATTTCGGTTTTAGTAAATGGTTCTCCTACTGAGGAGTTCCCAATGACAAAAGGGTTAAGACAAGGCTGCAGTCTTTCCCCTCTGTTGTTTAATTTAATTGGTGAACTCCTACATCTAATGTTGATTAAAGCTTCTGATTTGGGACTTTTTCAGTGGATATTGGTAGATCAGTTAATCCTTTCCTTTTGACTCACCTACAGTTCGCTGATGACCTGATTCTATTCTGCCATGACTCTCTTGCTAACATCCAGAATATCAAAAGAGTACTCAGGATTTTTAGTTTAATAACAGGGTTGCATTTAAACCTATCTAAGAGTAAACTGTTTGGTATAAATGTTGAAGTTGCTACCTTAAATGAATGGGCGAATGATATTGGCTGCTCAGTGGGCTGTTTTCCTATGGAATATCTTGACTTACCTATAGGTGCAAAGAAAAACTCTATAGTACTTTGGGAGCCGGTTTTACAAAATTTTAACAATAAGTTAGCTAGTTGGAAGGCTTCTTCACTGTCAATGGAGGCAGATTAGTGCTTATAAAATCGGTATTATCATCGTTACCGATTTTTTTCTTATCCATTTTTAAAACGCCACTCAAAGTAAGGCAGAAAGTTAATACATTGATGGCTAACTTTCTTTGGGGGGAAAGCTCAAACAAAAATCGAATGCACTGGGTTAGTTGGCAGGCAGTTTGTAAACCTTTGGAAGATGGTGGCTTGGGAATTTTGAATTTGAATATCACAAATAGGGCTTTGTTGGGTAAATGGGTGTGGAAATTTGCAAATGAGAAAGATTCACTTTGGAAAAGGATGATATGCAGCAAACACAATGCTAGTACTTTATCTCTGTCAATTAGCAACGTTGTTTCGACTCAAGATTCTTGGATTTGAAAAGGAATTGTGAACAATTATTTGAAAAAAGATGACATTGGAGGATGTTTGAGATCTCATACTAAGACTCAATTGGGAAATGGCAAGTCTATTTCGTTTTGGAATGATGTTTGGGTCAATGACCTACCCTTGAAGAATCAATTTCCCAGGATATTTGCATTATCAAATAACAAAAGGGGTAAGGTGGCAGATTTTGGTTGCTTTGATGTAAATGGATGGGTGTGGAATGTTCAAACAAGAAGAAACTTAGCGAAATACCTATAAGGAGCATATGAAGAAATTAGTTCATGAATATTAATGATGGCAAAGGAAAAAGGAGAAGGGAAAGAAAAATACTATCTCCAAACTTCAGAAACTAGAACTCTAAAATGCCTTTAAGCACCAACAACAACAATACCAGTGTGCACCAAGATAAGTATGTTAAAAAGAGAGAAAGGTGTCATCTTTAAGTAAACAGGTCTATTTATGTCGGTTGAAACTTCAAATACAACTTGTTAACCAAGTTAATATTAAGAAAATTAGTGCTTTAATCTCAAGAAAGAATACCAAGTGTAAATTCATGTATGTACGTGCCAAGTCAAAAGCAAATCATCTACAATGCCTCCTGCCACTTTGTGTTAGGCACCTTCCATCAAACAAACACCTTTTCTGACCCAGCAAACTCTTTTTTTTTACAGTAAAAGGGTTAAAATATCCCTCTAACTTAACTCTTTTTTTTTACAGCAAACACCTTTTCTACTAGTAGTGAAAAAATAAAAATGTTAAATCTCCTGAATAATAAACAAAATATTCATGATAAACTTTAATAGATATATTTAAAACTAAAAAGAAATCCAATTAGCGTAAGTAACAAACACAAGACATAAAAAGAACCTAAAAGCAAACCAAAAACGAAAAAAAGTAGTGTTCTTAATCCAAACTAAGCCACTTAGTCATGTTTGAAAGGACCAAGCTGAATTAATGTCACAACTCGCATATCAAACTTAATAACTACACTTAACATTACCATCACACTTAGATTCAACCCCGCACTGAAAAAAGAATTATATACTCAACAAAATAGAATAGAACATGTTTGAAAGGAAGTGGGACTGAATTCAGCAAAACAACACAAATATGGAACTCTCCTTCTCAGTTAAAAGACCCTTGTATAACATATTAGAGATTGATCGATCAAGTAAATCAAACTTCAAATCAAAATATATATACAGAGAGATATAGAAAGAGAGAGAAAAATAAAGCACATTTGAAACCATAATATCTGGAAACAAAACAAAAAAGGGACTTTTTTGCCAGGCAATTGCTTTCCATCCTTGATATAGAATTCACGAATATCAACCCAAATTTTACCATTCCAGTTCCTTACTGAAACTCTTCTATTCTTGGATATCCGCATCCCAAAAGGGGGGGAAATCCGCAGTTTATTGGCTTCGTACAATGTAAAATGCTAAAGGAAAAAACCCTATACACAAAACCCTAGAGTCGCATATGTAGGATAAATAAAACCATCAAATATATAAGAAATAGGGAGAAATAGCGAGCGAATGTAGAGAGCGACCTCGCAGACAACGATGCCGTCGGAGTCATCAGAATCGTCGGCGGCGGCGGAAGAAAACTTCGAGGTTTTACTTGGGTGACGCGTGGACATCATTCTCCTCGGAAGGTTGATCCTCTCCGTCCTTTCTCTTACCCTAAACTACATTCTCTCTAATCCGCTTTCTTATTCGCAAATTGAAAGCTTCTTCAGCTCTTTGATTATTAAATTGCTTTTAAAAACTTGCAAAAGTATGCTAAGCTATCCTTAATCTTAGGAGAAAGCAAAATATGAGATTAAATTATTTATAGTTATAATTATTATTTTATAAAAAAATATTTTAATGATAATTTTTAAAGCTAATGATGAAAATTTTAAATAATTTGAAATATATAGAAATGTATGAATTATTATAAATGAAGATTTGAATATATATAATTTTTTACACGAATCAAACAACTTTAACTTAAAATAAACGATTATTGTCCTTGTAAGTCTTGACACGTCAACACGTCAACGAATTATAGCATTTGAGCGCTCAATCAAATGATTAAAAAATTTTATAATAGATACTCCCACTTATAATCAATTAGATTAATCATATATATATATATATATATATTTGAATTTTATTGTCATATATTTTATCTATATCTATATCTATATGATTATATGATCAAATGAGTTTGAACATGAAATATATCGAAAAATCTAGATCGTTTAAACATGTAAAGATAAAAAAAATCCAAATATGAAAGCAAAATTAGACAATTAATCAGAAGGAATAATTTATTTGCCGTTGTGCTCGTAAATTCATCATACCCACGTGACAAGTTTTATAAAATACATAAAAAAATCAAAACTCATCATATGATATGGGACAAAATTGTATATAACTCATCATTCTCATATAACGAGTTCGAATTTATTTTATGAAACTCATCATACTCGCATGACAAATTTCACGTGCCCCGTAATATTTGCTGTAGATCCCAAAATAATTTTTGAGTTGACCTATTGGGCCAAATAATTAATCCGCTTGGATTATTGGCCCAATTTTACCTAATCTAATAGAGCTACTTAAAAAATTAAAATTTTAAAGAGCTCAAAAGAAAAAAGCTCAAACCTAATAAAACTTGAAGCTGATTAGATCATATCGAGACCTGTGAAATCCAAGTAATTTCATCGTACCTAATGATTAGATGGTTAGAATATTAATGGCACAACGACTTGTGTAACACTGAACTACACTTGAGCCAATATTCAATGCTTGATCCGAGGGGAAAACTAAATCCTTCCATAAGTGCCCAAAACAGGCAACTAAAAAAATTATACTACTTCAGGGTTAAAGAAATAATCTACCAATTCAAGAACCCATCCTCTAAAATGTCGATCAAATCCCCTTTTCTCCAAAAGACATCAACATGCTTTCTGCACTCTTCTCTATCACAAAAACTCTCAAATTCAGCTGCATCAATGCTGCACCGTATCTTCTCCCTCCGTCGTCAAACGACAGCAAAAAACGCAACTTCACAATCTGTAATTCTAAAATTCAGTTGATTCCCTAAAATTATACATGCAAATTAGAAAGTTTACAACGCCTCACTCTACAAGTTGTCAATTTCAAGTTGATAATAGAGTCGATGAGGATGATATCCGCAGCTTTTGTTCTGTGGTTTGGGGTTTTTTTTTGGGGGGGGGGGAGGAGGGAAGCCAATTCCTAGCTCGCTGCATCTGGCTGTCCAATAACCTTCTTGTTAGATTTGCGAGATTCCTTCTCCTGTTTCGTCGATAATTTCTTCTCTCTATTCTTCGACTTCTCCTTCTGCTTCATTTGCTCTTTCAGAGATGGGGTTGCCATTTTCTCAATCTTCTCTTCAGAAATGTCCAAGCCGGAATTTGGTTGCACACTGGTAATTTCACGAGGTGCAGCAAGGTGCTGATCCAGGGTTTCTTTACAGGAAGTCGTCCTACAAGGCAAAGCTAAAATGTGACTACTAGAAGCAGATTCCTGATTCTCTTGCACAGCCTGCAATTCAGAAACTGAACAAGCTTCTCCTTCAACACTACCCTCCATTTTCTGTGCCGACTTCTTTCTCCTGATCTCTCTAACCTTAATAATAAACATGCCCACACATTTGTCGAAATTTTCAGTTTAAGAATAAAAGGAAATACATTCTATGTTACTAACTAGTAACAAGACAAATATGCCAGCATATGTCGCTGTTGGAAATGAAAATGCAGCAAACCAAATTTAAGTAGACCGACACATCTTCCAGAGTATATAAATTCTCTACAAGATGTTAATTATACACTACAATCTATGGTAGTAACTAGTAACAAGATTCAAATCTGCCAGTATAAGCAAAAGGCTGAAGTAACTAACAATTCAGCAAATCACGTCTTAAATAGAAATCATGACTCTAGTGATTATAAAAAATCTCTCTACAGGATGTTGATTATACACTTCAATGGCATCCGTGCAGTACAGCATTTTGTCCAACACCAATGTACGAGAAAATGACACGTTCTGTTCATTGAACCAGAGCCAAGGTTCAGAGCACTAAATCGATACCTAAAATCCAATGAATGCACGTATTTCACAGTGCTCCATTGTCAATTTCATGCAAGTATTACAAATTTTATTTATATCTATTAACTAGAGGAATATCTTTTAATTTTTGTTGTTTCAAGGTTCCATTAGGAAGAGAGAGCATCAATCCTCTTAAAGATTTGCCAATAGGCCATTGGAGTCCGACTTGAACATAAAACCATAAGAAATTCAGGTTGGATAAATGCTTAACATGATAGCAAAGCCAAGTGTAATCTATTAATTCAGCCTATTACACCATGCGAGGTTGACCATTTGTGGGTCTAAACAAGGGGTGATTGTTAAATGAGGGATATTTTTAAATAGTGCTATCCCCCATTCGCTAAAACCTGAATTTCTTATGGTTTTATGTTCAAGTCAGACTCCAATTGGCAATTGATTTTAGCCATATCCTTTAACAAGGATGACCCAACTAAACTTTGGAATTCCTAAAATTGCATCCTAAATGTCTATTGCGCTGCTTCTCCATAACAAGATACAGTTGTTGCCATAGGCCAGGGGTACTGAACGAAAACAAGCAACTAGACATCAGTCTAGGTATAGTCTCCTAAGAAACTAAGAAATATTTAATAGATATAAATTCAAAAATTAAATATTTATGAAGGCCCACTTCACTTTTGCACGATTAACTGCTGCCTGGTGACTAGGAAACACTGATTAGAACTCGATTGCAGGTTGCAGTCTTTATCATTCACAATTTTAGCTAAAAGGTCGATACGTCCTTTCTACTAACAAGAAATATGAAAATATTAGCATAAATGACTTTCGATGATATGAAGTACCTATAACCACAGTCCAGACCGGGTAACAAGAAATTATTATCATAAGGGATATGACCTGTCCCAGTTTATTATATCCCTTTCATATCAATCTTCATCGAAGATCGAAACTTGCAAATATAAATTATCCAAATTCAGTCCTTCGACAGCCTACCACGTCAAGACATAGGCCTCCATTCATTAAAACAGAACACTTTACATCCGGTATCTATTATTCTACTTATTTATTCCTTTTGGTTTTGAACTAAAAAAACTAAATTAATGCATTTGACCATCCTCTCCTCTTGTCAATATCTAATGACACCAATATATAATGCAGAATTGGACTAGAGTTTTATAATAAGCAATAACTACAAAACATGTGCATACCTTATCATTTTCACACAATGCCCTTTTGCGTTCCTTTGCCCTACAAATTGCACTTTTTATCCCATGTTTGTCCATGATTCCGTTTGGCCACAGTTCCGCAAGCTGTATCACCCATATAGAGTATAAATAAAATGACACAATGAAAGAAGAATGCAATTAATAGAAAGGTGTCAGCTAGCTAAGTTGGTAAGCCTTAAAACATAAGTACTAAAGAATTAATATAAAAATAGAAAGCAAGGAAATGAGTGAAATCGTTACAATTTCAGAGGGCAATTTTAATTTGTGGAAAAATTACTAATCGAAGCCATATTCTCCCTAAAAGATATAGGGCATTTTCAATACCTCCATCTCAATAAAAAAAATTTAAATGATTTTGATTATAACTCCCATTAGTTCCTTACTAGACTGGTAATCAACAAAATCGGCAAGTGAACCCTAAATAAATAAAGAAGTGACTTATTACCATTCTAATTACAACTAAAGAAGAAAATGAACAGAACAAATTTAATCATCTAGGCCCATATGGCTTCAATTAAAAGTTCAGATTCACAAATTGCAATTACAGCAATATTTCAAGATAGAAAAGTACTACTGATTTCTTCCGATGTGATGGGACACATACAAAAAAATAATTTATGATCAAATGAAATGTAAAACAGATTAAAACTCCAGGTAGAAGTCAATAGGACAAACAAGTTGAAGACAAACTCCTAAGCGCATAGCATTAGGGCTTCCAATGAATAGAACGTTTGATGATCAGTTCATAAATAGTTCTGTTTATGTTAGTTTATCAAGCTACAGAAAAGACCAACAAAGATGTTGACGTTCGTTTATTAAAGGAACTGAACACGAACAAGATATATTCAGTTCATCTATGTTCACGAGAAATTTCTTTATGGATCACTTAAAGTTTGTTTAATAGACAATTTAAAGCTAGTTTATTGTTTTATTATGGTGTAATTGATAATATTTTTTTGTTTATTTTATTTATTTATCATGTAGTTAGTCAAATTTATGTTTCACTAGTTTATATCTAAATATATATATATATATATGTTTTAACAAGGCCTCCTCTTCTTATCATATATATATTGATTTGTGGTTTTTTATTCATAAATAATTATAATTTATTGTGAACATTTTCAATTATACACTCAGTAATATGTTTTTGTTTAACGTCTGTGAATATGTACATCAAATTAATCTAAATAAATGGACATAAACACAGATAATTTTAACAAACGAACACGAAAACAATTTTGAAATCCTTAATAGACACCAACTGAACAAGAATGTTATGGATGCATTTGTGGACATATCATAGGGGAGACATCGAACACAAGAAGTCAAAGGCACCAAAGATGGAAAGGCAAACAATTCTACTTTAGCAAGTAATTTTATTATAATTCGAAGTCCTCAAAGTTACATATTTTACATGAATAGTTTCCTATGCAACCAGTGTTGTAAAGGGTGCAAGGGGCACCCCCTAGGCACTAGAACCCTTATATTACCTCCGGCACGAGGCACAAAAGAAAGTTCTAGCTCGAGTGAAGTAAACCGCAATATGTATATGCATGAGTTTCTGCATATTTCTCTCTATCTATCTCTATCTTTCTATATATATACACACACATGTGCATACATATAACGTAAGATATATAATAAATTCTAAAGTGAGATTAAAGTGAATCTAGTTTATTTATAAAACCCAGAATTTTTTAACGATCAATATGCTTGATTTCCTTGTGGTTAATGTTTGTTGCTGAATGCCTAGTTGTTGAGAAGTACAGGTTTAATATTCTCTTCTAACCAGTAAAGGTATATCAAATGAAAAAAGTGAAAGTAAAAGAATTAAAGAGAACTTCAAGCAGACGGGCATTTTTATGCCTATCACCTTACTGAAAAGCACAATTAGGCGCACCAGGCATGTGCCTAATCAAATGGGTCTCGTTTGAATGGGTTTGAGACGCTTTTATTGTAGAATGCTTAGGCGTAGACGGACCTAGGTGCACACCTTGACAACAATGTATGTAACCTCTATTTAAGAAGACAATAGGAGTAATAAGAATTTGCCAGAAATTAATTCCAATTACAGAGAGTTATGGGCTGAACTGTTTTTAGGAAAGACAGTTAATTTCGATACTCTATTTAAGGCTTAGGTTGTCATTTTGTTTCTTTCCTTGTTTCTTGATTATACTTTTATTTCAATCGATTTGTTTTCCATTAAAGAATTGGTTTTTTTCTTTAAAGTAACAAGTAACATGTAATAAAACCCTATGCAGAATTTCTATAAAAAGAACCCTAAAGAGATCTGGGTCTCTCTATAATGAGTCCAAAGGCTTTAGTCTCCCTTTGTCGAGCTAAAAGGTCTCTCTCCCTTCATCGCGACGAACAATCAATTACCATAGGTTGTCCCAAGAATCATTATAAATGATTTCGACTTTTCTATCAATCACCTAGTGACTCGATTCTGTTCATGTGTTCTTAACAAGAAAAAATAAATAAAATCAAAACCTAATCCTTAAATAGAGAAACGAAATCAACTAATGGCTTTTCCTAAAATAAGTTCGGCCTGATTTACTAACAGAAAAGAAGGATCATATTTTAACTAACAACAGTAGAGTTGACTTTAGATGGTTTCTTCGATCTTAACTTCTTTAATTGTGGATTGAGATAGAAAAATAAAAGAAACCTCACAATCAGAGAAGCTTGTTGCATTTAGAATCACACTTCTTTATTTAGCCGCTGACATTTTTCATTTTTCCTATCTTTGTCAACTTCTTTACAGTAATTAATTCATTTTCCAATTCATGGAAGCATTTTAAGGATTTTTGTCAATTATAATATCTTTTGCTTTTATAAGAATTACCCATGGTTCACTTGGTCTTCTCATTTCTCAATGAATACTTTATTACTAATCATACAAATAATTAAACCTTTTTGTTTTGTGATTAGTTTCGCATGTTTTGCATATCCCCAATAAAATAAAAGACAATAGCTAACTGGGAATCCATACAATACATAAGAAAGAGAAAACACTATAGAAACCAAAGTATGGAAACTATTTTAATTATATACAATGATAAATACTGAAAAAATTCTTTAGATCAAGAAAATAAGGACAATAAAATTAAACTTTGTTATAAATGAGAAAAGAAAAAAGGAATTTATTTGAATAAAAACATGTATGAGAAAAAATATTAAATCATAATTATTTTTAATTATAAATTGTTTTTCAACATTACATTAATCTTTCTAATGAAACGTTGGCCTCCCTAACCATAAGTCTCAGCACCTTCGAGCCCATCCATGGCCATATCATACGTCCAATTTACAAACTCCTTGAGCATGCCTCTAATGGTCTAACGCTTCCATTATTTTGATTCTTAATGTATTGTTTCACGCAAGTTTCTTTTTGTACTTCTAGGATATTTGAGCCACTCACATTACTTGAAAGATAGTATGAACCTTAAATACAGCTTGGCTTCATATGAGTATTCTACGACAATCCATAGTTCTTCAAATGGGAAACTAAATCTAACCATTTAACTACTTTGACTGACATCACCTTTTACGTTTAAAACAAATAGTCATCCATTCCTAACCTATTCTCTAAGTAGTTAAAAATTTGACAGCTCAAAGAACAAAAACTGTTGAACTGAAGGGGATGGAAGATGACACCCAAGTCAAACGGCTTGAGACCAATGTTCCATACATTAGGTCAAATATTGATAATGCAACACCTCATGCTTGCAATTCATTATCAGTAAAGAATAAGCCAATGTCTATGAAAATATCAAGGCAGTTCCTTAACAGAAGAAAAACAAATAAATTGGAACAAGCAAATGGAAACAAAATTTCATAGGAGCAATGAATACCTCAACATATAGTTTTCTGATTTGCGGGCCTTTGTCTTCATCCATCCCCTACAACCATTAATAATGTAAAGAAGTTATAACTTAATAAAGCTATTTATAATAAGGAGAACAAGAATAGTTGGTTGATAAAAGCACCTGAATGTACAAATCATAAAGATCACAGATTTTATCCTCCATGATGTTATCCATGCAGTGTTTTTGTTTAAGGACAACTTTCTCTTCAGAACCAAGCACTTCCTGTCTACTGCCAGTTGCTACATCTCCTAGCTTAGATACCTGGACATCTATGCATGTTAATAAGGCAAATGACTAAAACTATTATCATTCAATTTCCACTGAATAAGCAAATATGCCAAATAATATATTGTGGGATAAGAATGTATTTCTAACATATGTGATAAGACAACAATTTGCTGCCATAAATGTTTGTATCACATTATTCTCAGAGCATATAATGGAGGACAAAGTTTCCACATATATTTTGCTATAAGTGCTTTCTTTTGTGAGAAAGAAAGTTGCATGATGCCAGTCATCAAAGGGATAGTATCCATAACTTTCAATTTAATAGAGCATCAATTATGATAGCAAGAGACCAAAATTTTTTCAAACAGCAACGTGGAACCAAGGCATCAAAGAGAGAACAGCTTCTTGTGAAAGAAATTAAGAACCTACAACCACAAAGCATCCAAAACTATGTTGCAATCGTTCAAAGTGATTTTCGAGGAAACCTGCAATTTGATCATTTCAGTGACCTCCAATTTGATCTGTTGAAATCTATCAGCATTTTCTTGTTTTGCTGAGAGTTCCATTAAAATCATTTCTTTTAAGTTCCTCTGAATCCAAACAATCAATTGGGGAAGGGTAAGAAAGAAGGTTAGCAAGCAAGTACATGATCAAAACACAATAAGTTATGAATTTAGTTAGAAAATTCAACCATCTAACAGAAGGAGAATGCATTCATACCTAAAACCGTGCAGTATAAGGCTTTTATAATTGAAAAAAGTAACTGATATAATTCTTTATTATAGTGATATAAAGATCAAACATTAGTGATCTTCACAATACTCTACATGCAAGTTCTCCCACATCCATCACCGGCACGGATTTATAAGCGGCAATATTAGACTTTTCTAGTTCTCGAAATGACAAGCTAACATATCATATTTCTTCATTGAAGAAAACAAAAGAGAAGCTACAACACAGGAAAAGGATACAATATGCAGGTACAGACAAGATCGCATGACAATGAATGTGTACTGTGTCATGCCTACAAAAGAGAACTACATTCATTTCATTTATAGCTTGGATTTACGCAATAAAAACTCTTTATTTCAATACTCCAGAAGAAGCTAGTAGGGGCTCTAATTTCATATGCAAATCTGTTTATTTACCATGAGATCTATATCAAACCCCTCAAAATAGAAATAGAGGCATAAACCTAACAATGAATGTGTTCTGTATCAAGCCTACAAAGAGAACTCCATGCATCTCATTTATAGCTTGGATATAAGCAATAAAAACTATTTGTTTCAAGACTCCAGAAGATTCTACTAGGGACTCTACTGTCATATTCGAATCTATTTATTTACCATGAGTTCTATAACAAGTCCATCAAAATTTTTTTTTTGATAAGAATGACAGGCCTCCTTAAAAACCTCCTTCTTGATCAAAGAAGGAGGAAAAGAGTGCCTTAGAAACTTTATTACTCCTCCGAAATTACATAAGATTTAACGTAGACACCATACTGAAAAAACACAACAGACTAAGCTACTCAACATAACCGAAAACCTAAACTCAAACGATAAAACGCACTGGAAACGACTAAACATCAACCAATTCCCATCTTTGCTAAACTATCAGCCTCCCCATTACACACCCTTGGAATCAGTCTAATAGAGTGCACCCTGTCCGTGATAAAAGATGAAATCTCTTTAACTAATGGGAGGATAAAAACTGGGGCCATAGCTGGTGTATGGACCCAAGTCCATCAAAATAGAAATAGATATGTTCACACATGTACAAATTTTCTTTTGTTTGATACCATTACCATGGAAATATGTGCATCCGGGTTGAATATAAATCAAATAATCTAGCCCAAAGCTTTATAGGCCAAAGGCAACAAAACAAATAGTACTTGGTAAATTCTGAACTTTCCAAATAAAGCCCAATTACTCAAGCCTGGTGTTCAACCCTATTACCTAGTTTCCCTCATTTTCAGCAATGCAGTATCCAGTAGCAGCCTCAAACCCTAGTACTTACTATTGCATTATCTTTCCACTCTCTTGTATCATATTATTGGATACTTCATTTCAGCATAGCATATTTCCAAGATGCAATGATACCAGAAACAGATGTGAGAGGGAGGGAGCAGCGTCCATGCCTCGTAAAAAAGAACTCAACTAATGCATGCCTTCTGTGCCTTTTAGATTTTGCCTTTCAAGGCAAACACTTATCAGAAAAAAGCAAGCTGCCCCAGAAAAGGCCTCTATTCTAGAGGAGTTTAAATTGCCTTTCCTAGATTGCACTGCATCTTAAAACCTAGGCTTATGGTTCAACTTCACAACTAAATTGAAATTAATTGCTCATGTACGGAATAAATAATTTGAGGTAGCAAGAAATTTAATGAAAAATATAGTACTAAATGATAATGCATATGCGCTAAACACAAATAATGAAATACATTTATACATAAAATAGGTATATATAATCGCTAATTTAAAAAGAAAAAGGGAAAATGAAAGAAATTACACCCATCCCAGTTATGCTTACATGGTCTCAAGTAACTCCAATGTGATTAAACAACAATGTTATGCACTACGCTAATTAAGTTTACTGTCCACATTTCGATGCACTGGGCTCCCGTACACAAATTATAGGTCTATGTGACTGAGCTCATACCTTCAATGTTCTCAATTGCATTGAATGCCCAAGAATATTCATAAGCATGTTGATTAACTCCTTGGATATTTTCCCTTGGCTTGAGTGCTGAAATTAGTATAGAAGAGGGTTTAGAAACTAATCATAACTTTTAACTGAAATTGAAACCCTTACCCCCCCCCCCTCTTTTCTCTCTCTCCAAAATGAGAAAAAATAGAGCTACAGAATAATTGAACAGACTATATTATTCTTACTGCTAGTCTGGCAACTTTAGCAAGCTTCTGCTTAACTTCACATGGCAACCTTCTTTCGATAGCAGCAGATGAAGCATCGATATCCTGAACTTCCATAGTTGACAGTCTTGCTGTTACGAATAATGAGCAGACACCCGCCGGTTAAAGAGAACAAAACTTAAACTTCCTCATAAGAAAGATATTAAACATACTAAGATAACCACACAACTCACATTCTGCAACAACTTTCTCCAACTCTCTCATGGCCTTTTCAAGCATAGTTCCTTTTGGCCTCAAATTAGAAACATCCTTCAACTACAGATAGGAGAAATTTTGAACATAAGATCACCTAATTAGACAAGCTCATGCAAATCATTATGCAGCCATGAAATAGCAAAGACGAAAAGAACAATTGCTAGGATAAGAAGTAAAATGTACCAGCCCTTATATATTATAAAAATAACAGTCAAGGGCATCTTAGCTCTCTAAGGTCCTCAATTAACGTTCAAAAGTTTATTGGCATTCTTTCTCAGCTCAACTATAAATAATAATAATAATAATAATAACAAATTGGTCCCTAGAAGGCAACAATGTTGTACCCTTTCATGTATAAAATCAAGGTAGAGTTGCTTAACTGTTTTTCGAAGTCAAAAGTCATCTATCCATGGGTTCCACCAAATGTTTGAGCCAATTCAAACCAAAACATTATTATTTAGGTTACTACAAAGTTCATGCATGCGAAAATTTCTCTTTAATTAAAGAGCTAATGCTTAGGTTTCCTATTCTTGTTTACAAGAACAATTAAAGGAATAAAAGAAACTTGGAACCACTCAGAAAACATGAGCTTGATACATATTAATTGTTACCTTGTCTAACTTCAAATGCTTACATTTTCCCCATCAACAATTAGAAGAAAGAAAATCGATATCAATTGTGTATGAGCTATTTTCCATCATTATTATTTTTTACTTTATTTTTCCATAAGCCATGTGACTAATGTAACCACATTTATTTTAGCCAGTCGTTAGAAAAATTCCATATCATAGATGTTTGAATTTATCCACAGATGTGACTTTAAAATCAAAAGAAGAGACAATGAATTATCAACATTTCTAAGTTTGTAAGTTAATCTACACACGTCCTACTCAGGCTTGACTTGCTAGCTGCTAATGGTCAATTGAACTTCTATCAAGTCAGAAAGGTTTTGAGCTTGCTAAGACTTAATTTGAGCAGCTAGATAGCCCACTCAAGAAGCTGACTTTTACCAACTTATTTTTAAATCGATCTATAATTTTACACAGATATTGGCTCAAAACTTGAATCTTGTGATTGAACCTGATACAGAAAAAATTTCAGTCAATATTCATTTAATCAAGGTGAGACAGAATCTCCTCTAGTAAAGTACGACTATAAAGAATGGAATTCAACCACCAACTCACTAAGTCAAGTTGCTCAATCAAAAAAGCTTACCCAACAATGCAATATCACAGGTGAGTTCAATTTTATTTAGCAAGAGAAAAGGAGCTTGGAATGTTCTTAATCACTGGCAACAACTGAGCACCAGTTCTCTCAGCAGTTGCATCAACACTAAGACAGTGCAAAAGCCACCCACTATTACAGGCTATGGTAGGATATAGTACATCAATCTTTAGACAAAGTAGCTCAACTAATCATGGAATAAGACTAAGGATTCTAACCATGAAATGTAGCTAATTATAATAATTTAATTTCAAAATCTAAAGACAGGCATTTCACATGCAGAAATGTCCTATTGTCCTGACAAATGAATTACACATACTCAAGAAATGTGACAAGTGACAAAAAAGACCAACTCCTATATATTCTTGATGAAAATTCGGAGATACTGTTGCTTACCTCTGATTGCACTGGATAAACAGGAAGATTAAGATCAGGCAGTTCACCACATGTTGCCCGCTTCTTCCTCTTCTCTACTTCAGTGGAAATTCCTTCCTCATTGTTTTCAGTCATCAATTTTCTCACTGGGGACTTATGTTTTTTACAAAACCTTTTTTCCAGATGTTTCTGATATGTTGCTAAAGAGTTTGTATTATTTCCTAAATCACTAGAGTGGATGCTTATACTTCTATACTTATCAGAATCCTTTGAATTTGATGGAGTTATGGAAGCATCTTTATTTGAGACTTCTGTATATGAAGAATGCTCAGACTTAGTACCAATGTTAGCAAGTTTGCTAGTAGATCTTACAGAACTAAACAGATCATGAAATCTCCGATTAGGTTCACCGGTAGCAGCTGAGATCTGCAAGAGGGCAGAAGATTGTTCTTCAAGCACTGCATTTGTTGCCGCACAATTCAGCCTTCCCTGTTCCACTTTTACATGTTTACTAAGTACAAGATCATCAACTTTATCTCCCCGAACTTCAGCCATATCTTTCTCCGTTTTCTGATGGTTGAGTCACTGACAGAACAGTTTCATTTCTGCACCAAATAATATATCATCAAAAGGAGTCAAATCAACAATAAGATTAGAAATTATTTTCTAAAACAAAGTATGACATGAATAAATATTAGAATAAAAAAAAGTATCCATCATGAATCTGTAATTATATGCTAAAAGTAAAACTCTCTTCACCCAAATAAAACTTGTGACATCTTGATTTTTGGTGGTCCAAATTTCTTAACCCCGACTTTCTATTAGTTTAAACCCATTACTGGTAAAAAAAAAATTGAAACACACACACACACACACATATATATATATATATTACAAACTTTGAATGAAGTAGCTTTAAAATATATTTTTTATAAAATTTAATTAAAAATTAAAATAATAGAAGTCAAAGTTTAAAAAATTAGAGCAAAAAAATGTACTTTGTCAATTTAACTAGGGCAAAAGGGGTAGCTCATATTGAAAAAAAAACCCAAAGTTGTGATTTAAATGGCTTCATGGTTTAGGTTTCAAAAATAAAGACAAAATTGTAATCCTAGAAAGAAAACATTGTAAGTAGTTAAGGAAAACCAATAACTACATATTATTCCGTTTTAAAGATTTTGGACTGATTAATAAAGAAACTTTCAGAATTGGTATATCATTTATCAACTATGATCTAAGGTTAGAAAATCCAAAAAGAAAATATCATTTTTTTCTTGAATCATACCAACAATGAGGATATGAAAAGCATAGAAAGAAGAATGGCTTAAATAGGGAAAAAGACTCACGTCCGTTCCAATTTATTGGAGTTTACAAGTAATCCATTCTGTTTACTTGCTGACTTGTCCTCATGAAAACACTCATCCTGCATGCATAACAATGGACAAATGAACAATTTCAGAGATCATTAAATTGATGAAATCCAACAGAATGCAGAGGTTAAGGAAAAAGGGTCATGCATAGATCCACGCTTATCACATTTATAGCTATAATTGGCTAACCTAGCTCTACCCTTTTTGGCTTCCTGAAGTTTATAAACATCAAGAGAACCATTAGTGGTTGAATTGTGTCAAGAAAGCAGTCATTATGTTCAAATTTTAACATTTAAGTGGGTTCGTTGGCAGCAAATTTAAAAATGAAACAGAATCTTCAAAAGAATGCTACCACATTGCCCATCCAAAATTATAAAACCACAAATGAAAACTTTGTAAAGCATGCCTGGTCCATCTATTGAACAATTTTAATTTAAGAAATCACAACGAATACCACAAAGACCAATTCAGGAAAGCAAATTACATTTACAGCTTGAATTTAATAAGAGAGGCCCAGGCAGAGAGAACATTCTAGATCTTAAAGCTGATTGTAATTCAACATTAAGGTACCAAAGACCTCTTATAGTGTTATGTGGCAATAATATTTTGGGCAAAGGAAACCAAAATAGGTATTCTGTTCACATAAGTTACAAGCACAAGTAACGAAGACCCAATTAAATTTACAAGAAAAAGAAAATACAATCAGAATTAATAATCGCATTCTATTCCTGCAAAGTTAAATTCGCTAAAGGGGGAAAAAAGTCCCAAACTACAACCCTAGAAAACAAAGATATAGAAGTAAAAGCAAGCAATTTAGTGAAAAAATGGCTTGGACCGAAAACTCTCACCAGAGAATTCTCAATGTTTCGGGCAGTCAAAGGCGGGGAAGTGCTGTGAGCGTCTTTGATCAACCTCTTCCAAGAAACTATCGTGGTCTCACCAGGCCTGAGGTCGATGGTGAATCTTTGTCGCTTAGCAGACAACCATGATGGTGAACCATCTGAAACCCTCGTAGAGGTTTCCTCACCAACACCAATGCTTTTATCACCTTCCCCCATGGGATCAACTCTTGAAAGTTCTTGATCCCTATAGCATTCGGGCAGAAGAATATGCAGCCATCGATAACCAAAGTGATCTTAGTCGAGGCAGAGAGGGTTTAAGCTGTTGAAATTTTATTCGGAGAAACCCATTGAATTTGATTTGAATCTTGAATGATCTGGGTCTCCGGTCAAATGTTTAGCCCTTACTATATAATTCCCTCTGCATCTAGGTTTTGATTTGATGTAATGTTATGGATTTTCTTCAATTTAGATTCAAATCGAGTTAAAATCATTGAAAAGTAAAGTTAGATCAAATTGAATTTATGTTCGAGTATGTGATTTGATATGGGATAATATTAAAATTTATATATATATATATATATATATATATATATATATATGATTATTTCTCTATTTTTTTAAATAAAAATTAAAAAAATTTATATAAGGTCAAGTTGTATAAAAGATATTTTTACCTTTAAAAATCAAAGTGAATAAAATCTCTCTAAATTCGGATCAAATCGAGTGAAAAGAATATATTACTTTAATCAGAGTTGAATTAGTCAAAAGCTCGACCTAACTTGATCAACTATCATCTCTATATATAATTAAAGAAATTAACAATTCTTTTGTTATCCTTTGAAGTATCGAATTCGAGTACATAATATAATAGAGATATAAACGTTCGTTATCGAGAGCCTTTAAGCATATATTAACTTGTGAGTTATAAATTTAGAATGTCAACAAAGTGTGAGTTATAAATTTTGGGGTTTAATAATCAACGACGGTCCATATTGATCGATAATGATCGACAATAACGATGTGAGCGACGACGGCAACAACAAACTTTAGTTGAATTTAATAATCAAATTAATGTTTTATCTAAAGTTTAAAAATTAAAATAATATTTTATCTAAACTTCAATGTCTAACAAATATTCTATCAAAGTTCAACAATAAAATTTGTAAAACTGACCTCTTTCGATGAATGAAACATGTCATCAAATTAATTGGAGATAACAGTTTAGTAATCAAAATGTAACATCATTAACCCATAAACGTATTTAATTACAAATTAAAGATGTTACAGTAACTTGTAAACACTTACTAAACAAAAATTGGATAAAAATTTAAACCTTTTTTAAACTTATTCATAAATACCTTTTTTTCGTATAATTTATTAATTGCTTAATATAAAATTTAATACGTTGATCTTAAAATCAAATCTGATTTAAGGCACTAACTTGGCAGTTTATTACTAATTCATATTTAAAACAAAACTACCTAAATTGTCTTCTTAAAATTTCATTTTAATAACGATATAACTATAATTTAATAATTACTATTCATGCAAAATATTAGTAATATTTAATAACATGCACACTACTTATACTAATTTATATAATACAACTCGACTTATAAAATTAATATATCAGAGCAATAAACATATATTTAATATACATGTCAACTAGATAAGTCAAAACGGTAAATATCGTACTAATGCTAGAATAGATGTGATCTGCAAAAATGCATGTTATGCTCCCTAATCCACTTATTGATCTTTTCGTTTACCTACGCATGAAAATATTCATACGCTAAGTAACAATTTAGTGATGCATTTTTTATAATAAATAAATCATATCGACATAAAAATAAATAAACATTTCTTATATAAAATGTCTTATAAAAATATAAGAACATATAATAGACCAAATAATTCTTTATTTCATCAAAAACCTGAAAATATTATTTAAGAACACCCATATTTGTATTCACATAAAAAAATTCAAAAAAAGATTTACTTTCAATGAATCAATCATTCATATATATATTTCAGAACATTTAACAGATAGCCCAATGTACACAACTGAAAATATTATGTACACGAGTCAGAACGGGTGTGTGCATAATATGCAATCGTAACTGCCAGAACAGAACGCACAAATAGTGCAAAATATATGTACACTAAGATACAAGAACGCACTTATAGTGCAAAATACAAAATCACTCAATCTCATGACATGTCAATCGTACCACTAACTCTCAATGCACATACAATGGGCTTCATATTCATACTAGATTTCAATTGAAATTCAAAGATAACCATAACATAAATTAAAGCGATTTGACAGTTCATACCCGAAATCATTTTTAAATTAATTTAGAAAATATTATAAAATAAATACATTATAATAAAATTCATATTTGATTCACTTCAAAATATTAAAATAAATATAAGTATGTAGTCACTTTATTAGCCTCACTACCAAACCTTTTACGAAGATATTTTTTTTTTTTTGCTTTGGTCAAAAGATTTATCAAAATCTAGACAACATCAAATAAACATCATGCAAACCATATGTTTGTATTAAACTAACGTAATCAAAATCTAATAATAACTTCAACATTTCCAAAATGACTCCTCAATTCCATAAATATTTATATTTCTCGCCAAGTCACTCAATTTCATAAATCATACAATTTAGTCACCATTTATGAATTCTTTTAGAATTCATACCAACTTTAATTTCACCAAATTAATTTGTTAAGTCTCCAAAAATTGTCATTTATCACAATAATCAACTTAACTTTTCAATATTTCACTTTTAACCACTAATCAACCTTTCTTTAAAATCAAACCCCGTATTTTCAAAGTTGCTCAAACTAGTCCCTTAACATTTTTTTAATCCATTTCAATCATTATTTCCTACCACTTTCATATTGTTTCCAAACTAATACTTCAACATTACACTTTTGCAAAGTTTCACCATGAACTTTACCAAGCCTTTCAATTAGTCTTCAATCTATTCCAAATCTTCCATATCGAACCAAAATCAACATTCTATTATTCAAACCAAAAATTCCTGCACAATACAGTAATTTCCAACAACTGCATAATTATACTTTAATTTCTCAAGTCTTGCAAAATAGCCCCTAACAATCTCCAACTTGTTTTCAAGCTTGATTCATCAAGCAAAATTCATTTCCTATCAATTCCAACCATTTTCAATCAATTACATACCAAGACAATCAAATTCAACATTTTCCATAAAACCCCATCATAACCGAATTTCATATTTAGTCCCTTTATTGGTTTCCAATCACTTTTCAAGCTTAATTATAACTCTACAACACTTCTACAATCAAAACCAAACCTAATTTCATTGAATTCTCAACTCCCTTTCATCCAGCATAAATATCCATTTTCACATTTCAACATGAAACAATTCAATACTTATACCAATTTGTAGAGAATTTAGTGTAGGTGATTTTCTTATTTCACAATTTAGTCCCAAAACTCACTAAAATGGACTAAAAATGAAAAAAAAACTTGCTAACCTTCTATGGAAGTTTCGTCCAGCTATTGGAGAAGAAAGAATTCAAGAAATTTCTTATAAAATATCTCTTTATTCTCACTTTAAAAACCCTTTAAAATGAATTAAAAATTCATTTTAACTCAAAAGTCAAAATTGTCATTAATGAATCCTAATAATTTCATCCAGGCCATCATTTTATCTCCAACTTAATAACCTTAAATAAATATAAAAATCCTATTTATCAATTTCTCTCTTTACCCTTTCAGTTTTTTAAAAATTCAATTTAGTCACTAAATTGCATTATTCCACTTTAACATGCAAATTCCACCAAATTCCACTAATTCACATCAAATTCCACTAATTAAAAATATCAATATAATTTTTATATCCCCAAACTACCTTCCTTAAAATTTTTGTAAAATTTTGATTCGATCTGATTATTCGAATCCTTATCATACTTTACTACTTTATAGCTTTTAATACAAATCCTGAATCAAAATTTTGATTTCCACGAAAATGTCAATTTCGGAATAAATTATTCATTTACGGGCCAAAATATATAACTTCCAAAAATTACATTGTTATCCCTACACTTCTACATAGTTCATACTTTAACCATTAAACTTTCAAAAATTACATTTTGGTCACTAGCCAAAATTTGAGGTATTACAAAAAAATGTAACAATCAATAGCATAAAATATCAAAATTTATTAAATTGACAACGCAAGTGTTCAAAACATACTTTTTTACATTTAATGGATAAAATTATACAAATATAAAAAGAAAGCGATCCATCCAATAATTTACCTAATTCTAAGTCTAACCTATGAATTTTTGTGAAAACATAGCCATGGTCATAAAACCCTAACTTTTCCCTAAGTCACAAAGGAAAGAACATTTGCAACGGGAGTGACAATGTCCACAGCAGAGGCGATAGAGAAAGCAATGAATACTTTACTCAAATAGAGAGATTCTCAGTCTCATTTGCAAAAAACCAAACTTCTCGAGGAGGATGAGTCACTTAAAGTTTTTTGAAAAAAATTGGTTCGTTTAACGGTTAAATGAAAAAAAATCGTTTAATGAAATTTGGGTAATTTTGATTGATCGTTTAACCGAATTATCCGATTAAACACCCATACTTGCTAAAATATTAGTGATCATTCGTGTAGTTTATCCTTTTTAGTTTTATATATTCACTATATCACGTCAACAAAATTATGTTAAAAGTATAATGACAGTTTACTCTCCATGACCACATATTAATTACATAAAAACAAAAATGACTAAATATTATGTTTTTTGAATTTAGTGAGGGAAAGTGTACAAAACCTAAACGAAAGTGACCAATCATGTAGTTTTACCCAATTGATTATTGTAGTTTAACTTTAAAGGAAGTTGAAGGTTTTTATGTTAGATTTAACGAGTTTAAAATTTTTCAGTGAAACACACTTTAGATTTGTATCTAGAATGTCAAAAAAGTGTGAATTATAAATTTTGGAGTCTAACAATCAACGAGGACCGATGTCAATTGAAAATGATCGATAATAATGATGGTGAGTGATGGCGACAATGATAGGCTTTAGTTGAATTCAATGATCAAATTGATATTTTATCTAAAATTCATGGATCAAAATGATATTTTATATAAAATTCAAGGTCTAATTAGTATTCTATTAAAGTTCAATGATAAAATTAAAGGTTATCCCCTTTTGATTAATGTACCATGTCATAAAATTAACAAGAAATAGAAGTTAAGTAACAAAAATGTAACAATCGATGGCATAAAAATCATAATTTGATAAATCGACAATGCAAGTGATCAAAACTTATATTTCTTATATTTTGTGAACAAAAATATACAAATATAAAAGTAAAGTGATCAATCTAATAATTTACTTAATTCTAAGTCTAACCTATAAATTTTCGTGAAAACCTAACAACCCACATAAAACCCTGTCTGTTCACCAAGTCCCAAAGAACAAGAGCGGCATGGCCATAGCAGGGGCGGTAGAGAAAGCAGTGAATGCACTACTCAAATGGAGAGATTTTCAGTCTCATTTGCAAAAACCCAAACTTCTTGAGGAGGATGAGTTGCTATATCTCATCGTCAGCCTCAAGAAAATTCCTCAGAAGCCTCGCGTTAATCCGGTGAAGGTGCCTCTGCCTCACCCCCTCATCGATCCCTCTTCGGGTCCCGCCGAGCTCTGCATGTTCATCGACGACCGGCCCAAGTCAGGCGTCACCAAAGACGCCACCTCCAAGAAAATCAAGGCCGAAAACATACCCGTAACCAAGGTGATCAAGCTGTCGAAGCTCAAGACCGATTATCAGCCCTTCGAGGCCAAAAGGAAACTCTGCGATTCATACGACATGTTTTTCGCTGATCGAAGGATTATCCCCCTTCTGCCTCGGTTATTGGGGAAGCAGTTCTTCAAGAAGAGGAAGATCCCTGTGCCTGTGGACCTCAAGCACAAAACTGGAAGGAACAGATTGAGAAGGCTTGTTCCTCTGCTATGTTGTTCTTGGGTAGTGGGACTTGCTGCGTGGTGAAGGTGGCTAAGCTTTCTCTTGGGAAAAAGGAGATTGCCAAGAACGTGGAAGCTGCTATTAATGGGATTGCAGATGTTGTGCCGAACAAATGGGGAAATATAAGGTCGTTTCACTTGAAGTTGCTTGACAGCTTGGCTCTACCTGTTTACCAGGCTATGCCTGATCTGCGTTTGAAGATTCTCGCTGAACCCGAACACCCTACTTCTTCTAAGGAGGAAAAACAAGAAGTTGAAGAAGAGAAAGAAGATGCTTCTCATCAAAAGAAGAAGAAGAAGAACAAGGGGAGGATACATGAAGTTCAATACATGGATGATCAGGAGAATATTAATGACTCGAATTCCGGGGCTGATATAAAGGATGAAATCACAACCGAAACTATCTCGACCAAGAAAAAGAAGAGTGCTCTGAAAAAGTTAAGTGCTGTTGACACGAAGGTCAAGGATAAGAAAAAGAAGAAAAAGGTAGCTGCTTATTGATTTGTCTTGCTCACCACAACCTAGTAAACTAGGCATTAAGTTGAACTTCACTGCTGCTTGTTGTTGCAGATTAGTAATCATTATTGTTTCTTTTGTTATTGGATTCGGCTTTCAATTGTGGACTGCTCTTTGTCTTCTAATGCTGTATGTTATTTCAGAATGTTGTTTTACTTCTTGAACTCAGACTTTCAGAGAATGATTGCTGTAAGCAGCGTTTAAATACAATTTTTAGATAACTATTAATGGTATTGTAATGTGAAAGAATATACATGTAGAACACAAATATCTCTGTGTATTTGAGCTGTGCTGAGGCTTTGAAAATGAAACTGATGAAGGTGCCTCTAATAGTCTAATTTCGCCTATTGGTTATATGTAGCAAAGGAATCTTATAGATTGCCGTTGTCTGATGTAGCAAGTTTCATCTCTTTATCTCCTGATAGTCTCTACCTCTTTGCGCTTGCTAGTTTATTTGTTCTTTGCAATTATTAGAACAAAGCCCCATGTACTTGTACGCTTTAGTAAAGTAAAAACAAGCAGGGTAAAGCACACAAATGGTCCCCGACCATAGGATTTTATTAAGTTCATCAACTATTAAAAGTTATATAATGGTCTCTCGATTATGGGTACTATTTTATTGAGTTCATCGGCTATTAAAAACTATAAAATGGTCAACCGACTATTCATTACGTTCTAAATTGGTCATTTTCCATTAAAAAATTAGGGATTGTCTAAGATGAATGTTAATATGATGACTGAGTTATGATAGTCATTTGAGATTTTGAGGATTATATTTTATCATATCACAGTCAACATATTAATGTTCAACTCAAAATACCCTCAACTTTTTAACAAAGAATGTTGAGTTTGGAACATAATGAATAATCGGGTGACCATTTTGTAACTTTTAATAGTTGAGAGACTCAACAAAACAACATTCTATAGTTAGAGGAACATTTTTGTAACTTATAATAGTCGATAAATTTAATAAAGTAGTATTGTAACACCCTAACCCAATACGACACACATTCGACTGATCAGAATAACACACAGAACCACTAGAGTGGCTAACCAATTTTTTTTACTTGCTTTATTAGAACATATATTTGTAATTACTCATAATAAAACAATTAAACCATATCTTAACAAAAGGTTTACATCCGGAGCTCCTAAAATATAACAATTCAAAATATACATACCATCAGTTAAAATAAGTTAACATCTCAAATATACCAAACAGTATCCACAAATATACATGCCCTTTAAAGAAGAACTCGAGACGTACTCTGCTGCACTGGGTCTGAATCTCATTGCTTAATGGCCCCTTAACTGCACCTTTACTAACTTGCATAAGGAAATAAATTTCAAATGATGAGCTAACTAGCCCAGTGTCACACTACCACCTAAATCGTACTAAAGGTATTCAATAGAATGCTTAAACTATCACATATATTGCATCAGTGAGTATACTCATATACTGCACTCTTTACTTTATGGTAGACATCATGGTGCAACTGAGGGTTCTGCATTTCATACCTCACACACTCCTCTAGTCTACCTGGGATGTGGCCCGGAAACTTTACATCGATCATAACACCCTCGACTAACCCAACCTTTGCAAGTGTCGGACCTTGCGTCCTAGTTAGTCAGTTTAAAGTACCTTGCGCACTACCTAAGGGTATATTGAATGATTCTATTGTTCGATACTAGTATCACTTCTAAAGTAACCTGGCTGTCCTGGTCGATTCCTGAGTATTCAAATAAAACTAGTTTTATGTCACCTTAATTTATCTCGTTTCTAATATAATTAGACATTATTCTTATTTTCACTAATAATATTATTTTAGAGAAATTAGAGCCTTTGGGAAACCTCATTTACCTCTTAAAATCTTTTGGGCTTCTTGCCCAAAAATGAACGAGGGTACCTTTGGATATCGATACCTTAAGGCTAAATCAAGTTGGAATTGGGTGATAAGTATCGATACTGCTTGATCAGTATTGATACTCACGAGCTAGGGTACTGATACCATTCGAGGGATCGGTACTAAACTTTGATTCGATGTTTTTAAAAAACAAATCATGGTATCGATACCAAAAATGGCTACTGGAATGTACTGAGTTGCCCCAGTATCAATACAACCCTACGAGTATCGATACCCATTGCTTGAGTATCGATACTTCTAGCTCAAAACCTCCTTTATTTAACACCTGAAGAACAATATCGATATTGTTCTTCAGTACTAATAACCCTGCCCAGACATGCCTTACTTAGGCACGAAAATGACTCTTTAAACCACCCAAAATACCTTATTGAGGTTCCCAACCATTATCAGAGTTTTATACGATATTAAGGGGTCATAAATAAGGCTTTGAAACATGCCAAAACACTAAAACATATAATTTACCATGAAAACCACTCAACATGCTTCAAACTCAACCATTAAGCTAGAATGCATTCCTAGTGACCCATAAGTGGTGTGAAAAGGTTGTAAATGTGTTACCTTGTTTCTTTGGTTGCTAGAAACTCTCCTTAAACACTCAAGAGGAAACTCTCTTTTTCCTTGCTCTTGAGCTTTCTTCCACTTCTTTAGCATATTAAAAGAAGGAAAAAGAAATTACTAGCTTAACTAAGGTTGGATTAAGATTAAAAACATTTTATATAACTTAAATCCACCAAAAATAAGCTAGAATCTATAGATTCTCTTAAATCTCCCTAAAACCCATTTTTATAAACTAAGGCTTCAAATCATTGGAGTTCTCACTTGAAGGAAGAAGGAGAAGAGAAGAAAGATGAGATGAAGAGACGAGTCTTAGGTGACCTAATAAGGGGAGTAGTTTTACTTGAAATCATATAAAAAGGAAGGGGTTTTCATCTTTTAATTCAAACTATGGGTAAATTGCCCATTTGGTCCCTTTTTTATTTTCCTTAAAAAACTCACCCTACAACTCCAACATTTGGCCCAACTCAAGCCCAAACCCAACATAACTAGGTCCAAATTATTTCTAATAAGTCTTTTGGGTTCTAATTAAATTTATCGAGTTGACCCGAATTACTAACCTGAGTTTCGAGGCATTACAAGTACCCTATAATCGGAGAGCCATTTGTGTACTTTACCCAAACATGTAATGTTGCTGATAAACAGATGAGAAACACTTGGAAAATTGGGTGTGAAGTAGCTGTAGGAGGTTTAGTGAGCTCTCAGGATGCCACAAGCAGCATCGAACTTGTCCTATAAGTTTGTAGCCTTTGTATCACTGAAACTAAGTTGGTACTCTTCCACTTTTTGTTTTGTAGAGAACATTTTCATCTTCTTTAGATGATCCAAAGCCATTGTAGTTGTGACTTCTTCTTTAGTTGCATCTGCTAATAGGCATTGCACAAATTGAAGTGCCAAAAATTATTAGCTTATTCGAACTTGTTGCTTTGAAGTTTTGTTCAAGTATAGAACTTGAAGTGCCAAAAAAAATATTATTTACCAAAATAGTTGACATTATTCCCATATGTAATGGGGTAAGGGGGAGGTAGGATAGTAGGCTGCCCCCAACGCCAGGTTGAGAGCAGCTTCCGTGGAAGACCTCCAGCATTATGAATTGCCCACCGTGGGACTCGATCCCACGACCACAAGGTTAAGAGCCTTGCGCTCTACCAAAATAGCATTTAATGAATATATTATTTAAGGTAAACTACACGTTTAATACCTAAACTATTAGTGTTGGTCCGTTTTAGTACCTAAACTTTCATTTTTTTCAAAACCATACCTAACATTTAGTTTTTGTTTCATTTTAGTACCCTGTTAAAAACCTAACATGAAGTTTTGAAAAAAATTGAAAGTTTAGGTACTAAAACAGACCAAAATTGATAGTTTAGGTACTAAATGCGTTAAGTTTTCAACGGCGGGATACTAAAATGAAACAAAAGAAAATGTCAGGTATGATTTTGAAAAAATTAAAAGTTGAAGTACTAAAACGGATCAAAACTGATATTTTAGATACTAAACATGTAGATTACCCCATTATGTATTCAAACAACACTTTTTTAGTAAATGTGTGTCACGTAAGAAATAATTTTCAAAAGTCGTATCTTGTAAGGTATATTTCTCCGATGTTGTAGGTTTTTCGTGTAGTCTCTCTCGTGTTGGTATTGTCTTGGATCAAAATAATAGAAAAAGGGTAAGAAGTAGAAAATTTCAAAATAAAATTATGTAAATTATAAGTAGTAAATGTATTTGCACGAGCATGAGTCGGATGGCAACGACACACGAATGTATATGTCTTGTTTTCAATCATTCAATTATTGTTCATTTATTGTTTAGAAGATCATATTTAGGGTAAACTACATAAATGACCACATAACTATAGGATGGGTCATGAAATGACCACCATTTTTAAATTTGTGTCAATATGACCACTGAACTATTTAAATGGTTTCAATATAGCCACCTGCCATTTGTTGAGACGATTTTTCTTAAGGGTGAAAAAAGGTGAGATTTTGAAAACCACATTAATTCTTAATTGTCTCTTTTTCATTTTAAAAACATATGCGATTTAAAAGACCTCTCGTTTCGAAAAATTTGAATTTCCTTTACGATCGACAAATAAGGTTCGAAGAGTCGCCACCAATCTTTGATCAGGATGTGATTGGACACCCAAAAATGCGTTGTCATTTTAAATAAAAATTAATTTTAATTAAAACAACAAATTGAGGTCTGCGTTACCAAAATCCGAGTTCGGGAGTCGGTTACGTGTAAGGAAGGATTAGCACCCCCACAACGCCCTAAATCGATACCTAGTCGATTAATTAACGTCTTTGCAATGAATTTTATAAATTCGAGTTTATTTTGATTCTTGATCCCATAAAGTAAAAATGTAAATTTAAAACATTCAAAAACACTCAAACAAATTAAATTAAAATTACCAAGTCATTTTAGAAAGATAAAGAATGTTCGATTATTTACAAATATCGAGACCAGATCTTAAAAGTTATAACAACCTTTTCTCGATGATTTTAAATAAACGAACATTTCTTTTTCTCTCGTTCCCAAATTTTAGGTGACGAGTCAATTTTTGTTTCACTTTCGGGATATACTTTCATTTTAAAATTATTAAAAGCGGACCTCAAATCAGTTATGACTGCCCACT